ATCAAAGGATCGATTTATGACACCTTGTATTTTAATTTAATTCATTCATTTGCATATCTGTCTCGGATTAGCCATCCTTATAATTGCTCGTAAAATTTTGATGCAATAAATTCCTTTATTTGTGGCAAAAGCATGATAAAAGTATTTACCTCTGCTCAGCCACCTCACTTCAGTATGTAAAAGAAGATCTGTGAACTGAACGTCCTCATCTTCTAAAAGTAATTTAAACAATCTGTGTTGCATAGCTCCCGATCTTATGGAATTAATAATTTTTGTTACTATCGTAAATACGTGTTGAAAAACCGATTGTTTTTGCGCATAACATTTCCTGATGTATGAGGCAATGATAAGAAATAAATTTTGTGAATAAGGAATCCTGCCTACATAAGGCAATAAATCCTTTTTTTACACTAGTCATCGCTGGTGTCCTGTCTGTTGTAATTGACGATAACTTTTGTACAGGTAATTTTACATCTGTTATATATTTTTAGATAATGAAAAGATATCTTCTCCTCTGGCGCTTCCCTTTAATGGCAGAACTTTAAGGAATTCTTCTTTTGTTGTAAAACCAGAAAATACCATCTTCACGCAAATTGCTAATTGTGATATATTTATCACGTCTGTCGATTCATCCATCTGTAGCGAAAAGAAAATACAATTTTCCATATCATTTGCTAATTCTGCCTCCAAATTCTCCGCAATTACTTCAATTCTTCTAGTAAACAGTTCGTGCTGATAATTGCAACGTGTTTATAGCTGAAACTATTTCCTTTTTATTTTTAAATTCTTCAAAAAGTGAATCAGCAGCTTCTAACATGGCTTCTTTCACTAATTCTCCATCTGTAAATGGTTTTTTTATTCTTAGCTAGCAAATGCGATATTTTATATGACGCGATCGTTGCTGCTTTATGTTGTTGCAGTGGTTTAGTAAAAAAACTTTGCTGGTTAGTTATTGAAGATTTTAAAGAAATAATTTTTTTTTTCTTCTAATTTCAGAGTTCATTGGATAGTCACTATCAAAATTGGTATGAACGGTCTTAATCTTAAAATGTCGTTCAATATTACTTTTCTTGGGAATCACAACACTATTATTACACAACAAACAAATACACTTCCCTTTGTAATCAACGAAACAATATAGATGTTCCCATTCATCATTAAAATAATATGCTCTTGTTCTTTTACATTTATCCATGAAGGGTTTTGAAAGAAAAGAATTATTTCGGATTACTTGGTAGTTTTAAATGCATGGTCTATGCGTGGTCTATTCGAAATACGATCACACACTAACAAAAATACGTGCGTGTTATTAGATACGCTCAAGGTTAGCAAACTGCTAATCTATGCACAATCCTAAACTCAACTGACTACTGTCTAACCACGCTAGCGAGAGCAGTTTGGCTGAGTGCCAAGATGGATCAGTTTAATTGAAGGGGTGTGTGGGCGAAAAGTGCGGGTATTTTTCCCTCTCGAAGGTCGAAGGGGTGTGGGTGAAATCGAAGGTCAGGGGACATTTAGTGTCTACCGGGCTACTGCACTCACCCCTACATAACTGATAGATGTGCCCACTTCCGCCCCAAACCGGATGTTTACATAGATCTGGAATATGTGGTCAGACAGTACTTGCTGTATATCACTGTTTGACAAGAGTAAGTAAATCGCTCTGGCTATCATACATTTACATTAGTCCAGCGAGGGTGCATTCAAAATCGATCGGGGGCGCCGCATTGCCTACCCCTGGCCTAGATAGTCATCAGTGATCATGAGTTTGGCACTCACTAATGACCTTCAGTTATGTAAGTATGTACCTTCAGTAATCATAGATGACTGATAAATAGCCTTTCAGTTAATTTAATTTCAAAGCTATACTAATTTACAACAGTATGTTAATGATCCATAGATTGAATATAAAGGACCAACATCTTTGCAAGCACCAATGTACTTGATTTAATTTAAAATGCTTACATGATTGATTACATGGTGCAAGAGACCTTGGTGGCTTCGAAGAACTAATTGCTTGCTTGTGTCGCCATCTATTAGCACCAATGAGAAGTGCAGCAACACACGAGTTTCGCATGCCCTTGAAAATGGTAATAACGTTGGGATTTGATCATGGGTCTGTTTAATGCGAATCAAATTCTCTACCATTAGCGCAAAAGAGCTCCCAAGTGCCAGGTTCAAGAATTCCATCTCTTTCAAATTCGCAAGCGTTGAGTTGTTCTCGAGATTGCTACAGACCAGGAACTGGTGACTATGCTGGATATTCTATCTGAATGATATAGCTATAAGATGAAAAATTTATAATACAATAGACTATTAAAAATCCTCAGAGCTTAGTATCTGAGCTCTGCAAAATTCAGAATTCTGCTGATTTTAGATCATGAATGAAAAATTATTTAGTTTTAAAAATGTTAGAGGGAACTGAAACAAATTTGTGAAAAATGCATAAAATTAATTTCTTTTTGACTTTTTCTAAAATTTGATTTAAAAAGAAAAGGAAAATTATGTAACTCCCTCCCTAACATTTTTCAAACAGCTGTTTACAGTAGTTTTCTTTAAATTTTCAGGTTTATACAAGTTTAAAATTCAGTTGAAAAATCATAATTAAGTTAAAATTTTCTTGTTTCAACCCCCTTCTTCTCAGAGAAAATCGTAAATTTATTTAGAACTGCCCATTCTGATTCAATGAAAATGTACTTTTTAAATACTAGTTGTAAAATAGTTAAAAAAAAATTGATGCTTTTAATGCATGGAGCATTTGGATTTATTAATGCACGGTAAACATTTGATGCTGATATGAGATGTAATTTGAAATAGTTATGGCAACCTTAATGATATTTACATTCAAGATACACTACTGCTCAAAATTATAATCATAATTGAATATCTAGTAAAAATGTTACATTTCTGTAAAAGGAATAATTCCATGAGTCCTATTTTTCAGCTTTCAATCTCTTGATGAGCCATTGGTTACAGTGCTATTTTGATAGCTGTGCAATAGATTCTTATGGTTATGTGAACTAAGTCTTTAACTATGGGTATTTCTTTTCCCTGAAAGAATTTAATGTCGGATTCTTCATCAATTGGCTGTTGCCAAATTGTGAAAGTGATCTCGGTTCATTTGCTAAAAATCTTGCATGAAAAATACATCTGGATCAAAACATGAGGAGTCTTAATGGTTGGCACTGTATAGTTTCTATTCTTTGCATGCTTATGCATATTTTGACTCTTGCTCAATTAATAGAAGAATACCAGGATTCCATGTACTGTAAAGTAATTTGTTTATGACAAGACAAAGTTAATTTTTAGTTATGGGTACAACTTTAATGATTTTGGCAATTTTTTTGATCTCAGTTATAAAAGTGGTAATCAATATAACATGGTAGCTTGCTTCAATACTGAATGAGAAAACATGCTACCAATAATATCAAATCAACAAATGTTGCCAAGAAACACCATGTGTATTTTACTGTTGACATGTCATCTGTATTTTACTGTGTTACATATGTAATTTTACAAGTAATCTGTATTTTACTGGCAATACCACAGAGATTACATGGAATTAATGGATTTGGTTGGTGGATTTTTGGTCTTCTAATGTATATCCAATTAAATTTTTTTTTTTACATTTGAAGCATTATTTTAACACTAGAACATGTTTTTAATGTCATATAATCTGTGCTTGGTAAGGGGTTCTCTTTTGAACTCCCCCCCCTTCCTAAACTAAATTTTTCCATGAATCTGATCTCTTTTTTTCACAGGCACTGTATTTTTTCACCACTTTATTCAGGGGAGGGAGTGGCCATGATAAACCTTTTTATTATGGAGATAATTAGTTAAGTTTTAATCATGCAGGAATTTCAAAAGTAAATGTACACTGTGCAAAAAAAGGGGGGCAGTTGTATATCTCCCATTCTACTGTGCCCATTGATGAAATTCAACTTCTCCCATGTTTCCACGTTTTTCATGTTTTGAAAGCGGGACTTAGGATATGTATTAGATTTATATATAGCATTGTTCTAATACAGGTATTCTGATGCAAAATCAGATTTTTTCTGAAATGACATGCAACTTTCTTTACATATTTCGGATTTACGACTCAAATTATGGCAAACTGGCAAGTTTTGTAAAAATAACATGAGTAGTTTTTAAAAAATTAGCTCTTAAAATTTTAGCTTCTCAATGTTCGTTGAATTTGATATATATTTATTAATATCTCTTTCTTTGTTAAACTTATTTGATTCTTTTAGATTCATTCTAAATAAAATTCGCCTATTTTTTATGATTTATTTTTAAAATTGTATTTTAAAATAATTTTTATAAATTTTTCCAAAAAAAATTTTTGAATTATAACCTGTAAAAGTTTTGCCATCATCTAAGAGTAGATGTATTTCTAAGCATACCTGCAAAAATTAGAGTTTTTTATCCAAAATTTCCCAAAATATATGTGAATTTAAATTTCTGCGCGTTTTGAAATTTGGCGAAAAAACGACAACGAAAATGTGGTTTATGCACTTTGTTAAAATTATTTGAAAGTATGAACAATGACTTTTTTTCCGCTTGGGGACAATGAAGAAAAAGGAAAGGAAAATAGGTTGTTATAAATTAAGAAGTTCGCCAAGTGAATTATTCTTCGTGCAAACTGAAAAAAATTCACCAAGATAAGTTTTAAATTTCTCCATAAAATCCTCACCAAAAATTACAAAATTTAATATCTAGGCATAATTTGTGTTGTAGAATCTAAAGCTGGAAAAAATTGGTATGCTATTTTAGAAAAAGTCCAATCTTGTATGTTAGAAAAAAGCTATATATAAATCTAACATATATCCTAAGTCGCGTTTTCGAGACATGGAAAACGCAATTTGAATTTCGTTAATCAGCTCAGTAGAAAGGGAGATATAGAACTGTCTTTTTTTTTTTTTTTTTTCTTTTCTTTTTCTTTTGTGCTGTGTGCGTTTTTAATTGGTTTTGCTTTCACTTATTCTATGATTCCCTTTCAGGATTTTGACTTATGTGTCAGTTGTTATGGGAAAGAAGGTCATAATCATGAAATGGAAAAAGTAGGCTGTGGGATAGATCATGATTCTGCAGCATCTGATAGCAAACAAGCAAATCTTGTAGATTCCAGAAATTTATTCATCCAGTATGGTGCACATTTCATGGTGCATGCCTATCAATGTCGAGATGCAAACTGTTCTATGCAGCAATGTCGAGCCATGAAACTAGCTATTCAGCATGCATCTAGTTGTGTACAAAGAACTAGTTGTAATTTGTGCAGAAAGCTTCATATATTTCGCATACAACACAGTAAGAATTGCCAGGTAAAACTGTTAAATTATATATTAAATTTTATTCTTTCAAACTTCTTTTTTCTATTTAATTTTATTTCATTTTTTCTGAATTAATGCTTCCAATAGATTGAAATTGAAACAGTTTTGTTACTTATTTAAGTAATTTTTATTTTTTTTTTTTTTTTTTTTTTTTTTTTTTTTAAAGGAAACTAGTTGTGTTATTCCAGGTTGCTCAATGGTCAAACTTAAGTTACACTTGCATCGGCCTCTGCTCTCAGCACTGAATCAGGCTTAGAAGGTACACCTCCTTTGTGATTTATCCTGTAACATATCCTGAAAATTACCATTATAACTGGTAAAGTGTAGCTGGAAATATCTGATACAATATATGATTTCTAATATTTGCTACAGTTTTGTGCATGAATCATCTCTAAAAATGTATTAAATATTATAAATGAAATATTTTGGAGGTAACAGCACATCTCTAGAAGTCTAGAAGTGTCATGTAAATATTTATTTTATCTCAAGAAGTGTTGTGTAAATATTTATAATGAAATAAATAAAAATTCAGAATATGTTTTTGTTTTTTAATACAGTTCTTTCCCGCATAGTCGGAGAAAATAGTATTTTCCATGCAAAATGTGTAAAATTCATATGCATAAGCATTTGAAATAAAAATGATGGATGGTCTTAAAAAAAGGAATAAAAATAAATCACAAAATATATTTCAAAACATAGCATTTACAGATAATGACATGACTAAATTAACCCCTTCTTGGTCGGATCCCCCCCCTCCGAAATTCTGACCCTCTCTCTCTCTCTCTCTCTTTTTTTTTTTTTTTTTTTTTTTTTAAATTCCTGAAATCAAAAGCGAATATTACTTACATAGTTCAAAGTTAGTCTTGAGATAGCTACCAGTATGCCAAAAAGCCATTTTTGATGCTTGTCTGCATTAGATCTTTTCATATTACTGCAGTATATGCCAGTGGCTTATTCCATAACTTAAGTGGGAAAAAAAAGTGAAAAGATATATCCTTAGTAAGATTAGTAGATTAGAGATTGTATTGTATAATTAAGATCAGTAGATTGCAGATTGTATTCTTGATTACAGCAAATATATGTATGCTATTGGCAAACATGATCAGCTACTTTCCAGAGTCTAATTACCGAAATTGGAGATCCAGGATGAAATTTCTTGGGATTGATCTCTTCTTCTATTTCCTTTCATAGTCACAGATATTGCTAATGCATATTATGTAAAATATTTAAATAACCTAATAATTTACTATTTCTTCATTTAAAGTTACCGTACCTTCTGGCATATAATGCTCATCTATATTTTCAAGCTACATTTTTTAATTTTTGGTATATTCACCGTATAACGCGCACCGAGTTCTTCACCAAGACAAATGAAAAGATAAGAAATGCTCTTATCTTTTGAGGTCACTTATTCGAACATTTTTCCTAGTCTTTCGAACAGTGGTTAACCACACTGACAAGCGATAAGGGGAACAATCTGTGTGTGGGTTAAATGCTTAAAGGAGTAAATATTCCAGCAAAGAGAGTGCATTATATTCAATGCAGAATTCCAAAAGAATGCTATTGTAGAGCGCTTCCAACCTGAATGATTTCGTGGATGTTCTCTTTCTGTAATCGTTTGCAGCCGTGATTTTGAAGTGAAAATCGAAGGCTTTAGTAAATTGCATTTGCTTTAGTCAAAATACAGTTGATCTAATGCACCTTTTAGTAGTAAATATGGCTTCTGTGAAAAGAAACACAGTGCTGGTTTCAAATTCAAAGCCATTCATTTTGCGAAAGAAAATGGAAATCGTGCTGCAGTAAAAATGTTTGGTGTTAGTTAAAGGTGGAGCGGATAATGATTATTTATTTATGGATAAAAATAACAATGATGGATAAGATGAAACAAAATTCGATGATACACCTGAAGATATAACAGAAGACGAACATGACAAACTCTTCATGTTATCCGATAATGAAAATGTTAAATTTTGTGAGGTATGTATTTCTTTTAAACAAGCAGCATTTTCGTGCATGTAAAAGTCTAATTTTTTGCCTTATTTTTAAGCTGTCACTTTTATATCTAGCATATAATGCATACCATAAATTTCGGTCCTACTTTTTATATTAAAATTGCACGTTATAGGCTGGAATATACGGTGTTTAAATTAAAAAAGTGCCTTCTTTATATGTTTTGTTTTTGCAGTTTCTATGTTTTATGTATTATATAAAGTTTAAGCTTACAGTTTTAAACAAGATCTCCTCCACCTTTAAACAGAAGTAGCCTAAAGAAATCTCACTGAATTTAATAAATTAATTAATTTTAAGAGATAGGAAAAAATAATATAATTAAATTATTGATGATTAAGTATATGACCATGCTATGAGACCATGCTATCAAGAGACGCATATAATATTATGACCATATAATAATAAACTTTAGCTATGCTTATTAGTATTAGTTTACAAATTAAGATGTTGCCTAGCAATATTAATTGCCAGTGAGTCTGATTTTTGATCAACAAGGTTCAGTTACAGGGTTCTTAGGCAAAAATGTCTTTATCCCTGCATCATCAAAGGTTAAAAAGTTTACTGCCAAAGTTGGGTTCTGTAAATAGGAAAATTTTGTGTCAAAATAAAGTGCCTGATTTTTAAAGAAAGAGACACACACACACACAAAAGAAACTTGAATGATATCACTTAATTCTATCGTATAAAAAATATAATTTTGTTTCCTATATTGTACAATATTCATACTTTCCAGATGTAAAATTAAATTAGTACATATTGTTGAAAATAAAATAAAATGTGGTTTTACTTGGACATCATCTGCTGTTATTGCATATATCCCATGCAGTTTCTTTTCCATTTGTATTTTCTGTAGCCTGTTTTGACTTATGCTGATGGTTTGTGACAGTAATTTTTCCACCAAGTAGCTTTTTTTAGGATACAACATGATAATTTAGGGATTTGATTGTATGAATTTTTGTAGCTTATGTATTGTTTGCTTATGTATTAGCTTTGTATTGTTTTTAGTTATTTATTTAGTGCAATTTTTTGTTATAATTTTACTGCATATTATTGTTTAATTAAATTTGTGGCATCTTGTTTTATTTCAAAGTGTTTACTTCATGTATTGTATTGCAGATGTTTTAATTCTGAATGAATTTACAGTTTACATATTTTGTAAAGATAGATGAAACTTATCCCCAGATATGGATAAAATTCCTTCTGCCCATCCTTAATGATATGTTTTGTCACCAGTTTATCGACATGTAGCAATTTCTCGCCAACTTGACAACATTTTAGAAGTTTAGGAAGAAGGCTTTTTTGAAGCTTTAGAAAGGATTGTTCTCTTAAGTTTCTAGAATTGCTTGCTCTCTGCTTGAAGAAATTATATTAACATGATGTTGTGAGCAGCTCTGTATTAGTTGTATAGTTTTATGAATAATTCGGTTGAAATTCCAGTTAGTCACGAAAGTATAAATATGTAAGTAACTCATCTTTTAAATTTTGAAATACGAGTATTTAATTCTTATCGTAGATGTTTAGAAAGTAAAATCAAACTATTTAAAACTCATTCTAATGCATATTAAGGATGATATTCTAAGAAATATTTTGTATTTACTGCAGAGCTTATCACCAGTTTTAAATTTCTTGTATTTTTCCATCTTTGGATCAAAGTGTGAGTTGATTACTGCATAGGTAAAAAACTCCAAATATTCAGAGAAGGAGCATTTCTTTTAGCATTCATTAATTTAGTTCATACTTCCACATCAGTTAATGCCAAATCGGCAGTTAATGGCTTTGAGTGAGTGTTAGAGAATTTCCATTGTTGTCATAAACCTCGTGTTTGAGTTATAAAAAATAGATTATTTAATAGGCTATACTCATAGAAGCTAATTTCATTTTATTCAAGTTTTGACAGTACATTTTACCAGAACACTAACGTTAATAAAAATATAAAGTCCAAAAAAGCAGTTCATGAAATTAATATAAATGTCGTTAATCTTGAAAATTTATTGTGCAATGAAATGGCAAACATTACACGTAAGCACAGATGAAAGAAAATGGAATCATACGTTATTAATGAAAATGTGAAGCATATTAATTAAGTCTTGAAATCTTTATCAGGTAATTAACCTGCAAAATAAAATTATGTAAATAATTATAAAATTATATAAAATAGTAAAATTATATCATATACTATAACACGTAGATGGTGATAAAACTTAATGCATATTAAATACACTCAAGAAGAATTTAGAACAAAAAGAAACAACTGATATGTGTAACCAAAAAGTAGTACTAATTTTTAGCAGTCGATCGATCAGAAGCTTTTAAGGTGATATTATAACAATGCTATTAGAAATGGGAAAGAATGAATTAGATAGGGCTGAATGTAGTAATAACAATTTGGACCGAGATTTTATTTCAGCAGAATCACTTTCAGCTCTTCAACACTATCGCCGCCTTTAGTTGCAGTCGAACTGCTGGCAATTGGAATTGGAGATGAAGAAGATGAGCAGTTGAAGAAGAGTAAAAAGACTGTAAAAGAAGCTGAAAAATCTATGCAAGCTGTTGTTTCTGAGCAATAGCTGAAATCGTAATGAAACTCTGAAAGTACTTCTGCTAAAACAAAATCTATGTTAGTCTATGTTGTTGTTCTTACTCTTAGTAAAAGGAATATTTTTAGAATAGAATAAGCAAAAATAAAGATAAATATTGTAATAAAAATTATAAAAGTATAATTGAAGATTAATTTAACTGACAAACAAATAAATATTTTATTTTAGGTTATACCACATAAATAATTAAAAATGAAATGAACAAAGTAAAATTTAAGTTGCTGAGCACTATCAGCTGACAAAGGAAAATACATGTTTTTGGATAAATGAATAACATTGAAAGTAAGCATTGGAACAAAAATTAGCTAAAGGATCATTGAAGGTAAATTTAACAGATTAATTAGCAAAACAAATTAATGTTAATTTTTTCTTTACCACTTTTCTTCTTAAAATATTTCAAAATCACGGCATGAATATAAGCCTAGTTATCTCTCAAATGCAATTACAGAAAATTTTCCATGCTTATTTTAAATATAGTAAGAGAGCTTTAGTTTAAAGTTTTACGAAGTGTGTCAAGCATCCAACAAATTTTTACGAGTAAACGTCAGTGAAGATGGTAATTATTTCATACATTAATACATTCACGTGCTTAGGGCAAGAAAGAAAGGACCTTAGATATTCAGAAAAGGAGGCACCAAAATTTTCTATTACAATTTTACCATGGAATATAGCTAAACCAAAACTTAGACAGATAAGAAACGTGAAAAACTGGTGCAAACATATATGGGGGTGCCGTATTCAAGGGATTTCATTGACTTGGAAAGTCTGAAACTTCTTGTTTTTAACTGCTGAATAGAATTCCAAATAATAACTCAATAGTTCTTTTATAAAGAAAGCTTCATTAATTAAAGAACTTTTACAAAATTTTGATAAAGACAAACCAAATGTCATATGAATTAACACACTTTAACTTTCATTCATTTCTCACTTTAATAAAATACTTTGATAAGTAGAAATGTTAGATGCATTTCACCCTGAATTAGAAGTGATTTTATAATTTTTAGGACATCCTCTCTTGCTGGCCAAGATTACTATTTCCAAATACTTTATTTTGATTTCACTTGATTTTCTTATAAACAGCGTGCAAGAAACGACTGTTTACAACTTAGCTGAAATTGTCATAGATGGAGATCTCCAGATCGTCCTTTCCATGCCATGTGAAACCCTTTGCCGCCGATTTAAACCCAGGATTTTCATATTTAACCGAGCGCTGCAAATTTATCTGCGGCTGCAGCAGTTATGCGACATTTGAAGACACATCGTCAAAATTTCGGCGTACGCTTTATCTTAGCTGTGACTTTACATAGATTGCAAGTTCTAGTTTCTTTATTGTGAAAAGCTTTATGTTAGAAAAGTCTATTTCATTTATCAGGTGGTTGCATATGAGATGCCGGATTTTGTAATAAAGTTATTTCTATACCACAGAATACCACCAGTTGACGTTAGTGTATTTGGTATTATTCATGCATGTGTTTATGGAATGATTTGAGTTCTAGATTGCCATAATTGTTTTTTTTCTTTTCTTTTCTTTTTTTTTTTTTTTTTTAATTTAAAGAAAAATAAATCCTTGTGCACCACAAAGTATCACACGAGACTTACAAATTTAACATCAATTTTCTTACATCAATTTAACAACAATTTAACTTACAAATTTAACATCATAACATCAATTTTCAATAATACAAAGAAATCATACACACACACACACAAAAAAAAAAAAAAAAAAAAAACCACATACAACACACACAAAAAAAAGTAAATACAAATGTATAAAATATATAAAGAAATCATTTATAGTGTTTAAAATAAAAGTCAACAAAATCGTGGAAAGTACGGTAGGCCGAAGCTGAAGATACAAAAATCATAACATTTCCTCGGCCAATGAATTCCAATTAATTTTAATCTGCATTTCAATAGATTTCTTGCTTTATCAATCCATGAGCAGTCAAGAAACAGGTGGAAAATACTTTGCTGAACTCTAAGATTGCAATAACACAAATTGGAAGACGTCAGCTTAAACCGTTCAAGATAAACATTAAACTTACCATGTCCAGACAAAAATTGGGTAACTTTAAAATTGAGCAACAAGTCCTTACTTTTCAGTCTTTCAAAAATAGTTGGGAAGAATGTTTTTTTAACAGATCCCTTATCAGAAGAGATATAATCACAGTTCCACTGCTCAATCATTTTAGCTTTGAATGTTTTTTATAAATAAGATTTTCAAATATTTACATCAACATTAGTATCATTTTTAGTTGCATTCTTAGCAAGCCAATTAGCACTCTCGTTTCCATAATTACCCGAATGACCACGGACAAATGTAAAAAACACTGAACTATCCATCTTCTCCAAATCTCCGAGAGATTGCTCTATATTAACAATAATATCATTACATAAAGAGGTATTTTTAAGGGACTCCAGGGAAGAAAGTGAATCCGTACAAATTAAGTAGCTGGAACTACGTCCATTTGGCTAATTATCCACTTAATTGCAAAATTAATACACAGAAGCTCAGAAATATATACAGTACATTCATTTCTAATGCGAAATTAGATGATACTCAATTCCAACATCATCTTTCAAAAAATAACAAGTAAGCAAAACCAACTTTATCATCAATCCTACTACGATCTGTATAGCACACAAGTGAGAATGAATTTACATCAGTGTCCTTACTATCCAGAATCTGCACTGGTTGTCTTACAGAAGGAATGTGGAAGAACAGACAAGGGCAATAAACGAATCAAAATGAGAAATGGAGCAGTTTGCAAGACTTATTCTATGTAATCTATATAGGTCAGAATAAACAAATCCAGCTGTGGAAATCCGACAAGAGAGAAAACAGCATTGTAACTAATAGTTTGGTAACCCCTTATAACTCGTAAAATTCGTCTTTGAAATTGAAGCAGGCGTTGGTTGGACAAAACATGGAAAAGTGAGGGGATATGGACATTTTTCTCTGGATAAGATATATCCTATTCTGATTTTCCTCGGGCTACATCCGTGGAATCCTTCCATCCTGTAGCTGAACATGGTTGCTTTAATGCTTATCTGTTTTATATTAAACTCAGGGATTTTCCTCTATGCTATCTTAGTCACTCTGGATAAATGACATAACGTAGAAAACAGCTTTTCGTCATTAGAAAGAACATTTAAACAAGTGCTCTGCACTGAATGGGTTTAATTCTATAACCCAGAGATATTGGCAGACAAGGTAGTAGTGGCTTATATGTCAAAAACTAGGCATATTTAAATAAATAGCAAATAACGTGTTTGCAAAGAAGCAGCCATGAACACCAGTAGAGCATTTGAAACAAAGTGAATAAACCACACTGCAACGATAAGAATAATTTGGATCCGGCAATAAAACTCTTGAAAGTGAGCAGCAGTCAACATTCAGCAGTAGCCAATAATAATAACAAGCGCGGGTACAGCTGAAGTCTGATCCTCTTCAAACTGTAAGGTAAATAAATGGCAGAGAAGTAGGGCGTACTCTATTCGATGATTTCCATGTTTTGTTAGTATTTAGAAAAATTAAGAAGCTAAACAGACGATTTTTATCGCAAAAGACATATGTATCACTTGCTAGTTCACACATCCCTATCCATCCGCAGAAGAAACGTCCGATTTTAATAAGAATGGCGAGATGTAATGAAGAAAGATCTTGTACGTTAATTGTCACTAATCTGCCTAAAGGCTTTGCCAGAGGGAAATGCGAGCAGCTATCTATTTATTTACCTGTTTAGTATTTAGCTTTAGTTTATGAGTAGAAAAAATTACTTTATTCAAGTTTTGGTATTTGTCAACATTTGCTTTACTTTTTCTTGTTCAATTTATAAAACACATTAAGAAAGAATTCATATTTAAACAAATATATTTGTATTTTTCCAGTTTTGCGAAAGAGAAAGGGGGTATATTCGCTTAGCAATAGTGAAAGGGGTGCATGAGGGAAAAAAGACTTAAAAACTACTGGGCTAGACATGTTTGAAGCTCAAAACCATGAATTAAATTAAACCTTCATCCTGGGAAGATCCATTTGCGGACAAATGGTAAGATAATTAAACATTGGTCATTCACTCACGCTCAAATTATATAGGCTACATAGGAGTTTTCGTGGTTTATTTCATGTATAACTTGATTACGAGTCAATTTTCCTCAAAACAATCTTAACGAAAGCATTCCTTCCTTTAGACATAATTCTGTTATGTTTTGCCATAATTCAAAACATGCGAGGAAACGGTAGTGCACAGCTAATATTCCTTCTTAAAATATAATATAACGATTAATGCTGAAAAATTCTGCATCCAACTAAATGATATGCTTCCGAAAGTACACGTTCAGAATCCAAGATAGAGCAGATTGTATTGCTTTATGACGACGCGCCACAATGCGTATTATAACATAGGTCCAAAAATGCCCAAATTCTGTGAGATCTTTCCTAATCCATTATATTCATCAGACCTCCTATCCCCACCCCGGTGAAAGCGACTGAACTGCGATTTGAAATGTGATTTTAGAAATGTGATTGATTATTTGTTTAATTTCTATATTTCTTGCTTATTTACGGATACCTCGGCGTGGTCGAGGGGCTTCCTCAATACGAAGGTCGAAAGCCTGAGCAAAAGTGACTACTATACTGACCTGGTGTGAACCTCAGAGTACCAGGTCAGTTGACACCCTAGCACCTTTTCTTTAATTCTGATCTATTCTGAATTAAAATGGATTCAAAAGATATTTTGAAAGAAGGGACAGGCTTATATAGCCAATTTAGAGACAATCCTTAAAAATAAAGCTTCTGGTCTACACAGATCAGTCGCTACATACATTCGACATCAATTTCAGTTGATGTTTAACTTGCTTACTGAACAATGCGTTGAAATGGCGCACCTAGAAGGTCAGATTCAAACTTTAAAAGGTAAAGAAAAATACTCATATGCGGACGTTCTTAAACGTCCTCCAAGAGAACGGTCAAATTCTCGTTAAGAAACTAGAAAAGCAGTATATAACTATAGTTTACTCCACTAAAGAAGGAGATAAACCAGAATATATAAAGAAAATTACTGAAAACTATTGATCCTTCAAAACTCCGAATCAGAGTAAAGATGTTAAAACAGGTCTCAAAAGGAGGCCTGTTAATTGAAACAAACAAAGAGAAAGATCTTGAAATCTTAGAAAAGGAACTAAATTCAATTCCTGAATTAAAGGATGACATCCAAGTCGTCCGAAACGCTTACCGAAGATTATAGTTTATGATATCCCAAAGGATATCACTAAAGAGGAGGTCCTGAAAGCTATTATAGCTCAAAATGAAGGGCTGGATGAAAATGGCCTGACGGTGAAATTCCCAATTAAACAGAAAAATGCGAACCATTGGGTCTTGGAAACTTCCCCATAAGTTTTCAAAATAATGATTAAAAATTGCAAAGTTTGCATAAATAGGGAAAGATTTAATCTGAAAGAGTATATTAGACCAACTCATTGCTAAAGCATTTAAAATATTTAAAAATGTTGTCAATTTAGACGTATCTCAAAACAGTGTCTTCTATAACTATTCTTATAGTCCTTCTATAACGGACTTAACAGACTTGATTAATTTACTAAATATTGTAGAAAAATTTCTTCCTCATGATCAAGATATCATAATATTGGGGGGGGAGTTAAATGCAAAAAATGATTTATGAGATTCCCCATTTGAGGACCCCAGAGGCCGAAAACTACGAGAACTTCTAATGTCACATGGGTTTGTAGAGGAGAACGACCCTGATAGACCAGCGATATCTAACTGTTCTCGGAGCAAAAGCTGGATTGATATCACAATTCACGCTCTACTTCGTCAAGTGGCTTTATCAGCAGTTGGTCAGTTTTGGAAAGCTTGACACTTGGTGACCATTGCTATTTATCTTTTGAAATCTCAGATTATGAACTCTCCTATCGTCTTGAAAAGGCAATATAAGCTAGAAGAAATGGATTGGCTCCTTCCTAAAGAGAGCTTTACAACTTACTTTTCAGAAATTTGTCCAGATATCATAAAAGACACTGTAGTCATAAAAATGGACGCAACAAATGGAAGAATTTTGTGAAATAGCTAATAGAGCAAAAGGTACTGTATTGGCTACCCACCATAAAGGTGTTTCTTGGTGGATACAAGAGCTTTCAATTATGAGCAAAAGAATTGTAGCGGAACGAAATCGTTACCAAAAATATACATATGATGATGTACTTAGAGAAAACTTCAAAAACATCTGTAAAAAAGACATAGCAAAATACAAAAGAGAATTTTTAAGAGCAAGAAGGAATTCTTGGAAAATTCATTTCAACAAGATTTGCCCAAATTCTCAATTTAGCATTAATTACGACATCGCCAAAGGAAATATACATTCCCCACTACAATTAAAAACTTTATTGAAGCCAGGTAGTATAAAAACTAAGAACTTAGAGGAAACAATCCAATGTTTATTGGATCATCATTTTCCTCAAGATTGCTTCATAGACGATCAGGAATATCATTCTCAGATACGAAATAGCCTTCTAAAGAAATATGGAGCACCAGATAATGTTTCCTTCACGAAACAGGAAACGGAATATATGATCAATTCATTAAACCGGGGAAATAAAGGTCTATACAAATGGCTCCAAGAATGATGATGGAACAGGAGCAGGACTCTGCATCTTCTTGAATGGAGAATATAAAGGATACTCATATAAATTAAGTAAAAATTTCCCTATTATTATCAAGCAGAAACACAGACTATAAAACTAGCCCTGTCCAGGATCAAAGAAAGCGAGACTCCGGTAAATAACTTCACAGATAGTGAAGCGGTACTGAAATCCATATAAGTTTAACATCTATAATAAAAATATAGTTGATATTAAAAAAGTTGGTAAATGATACGAAAACAAAAGTGCATTGGATTAAGGGCCACCAAGGCTCAACTGAAAATGAAAAAGCCGATAAATTGGCCAAGCAAGGAGTCTACTCACCATTGATGTTGGATTGTAAACTTCCATTAAGTTTTTTCCATCAAATAGCAAAGACAAAAGTTTTGGAAAAATGACAAAGAAGATGGATGGAAGAGGACAGAGTCAGAGTAACTTCAAATTACTTCCCAAGTTGTCGGAAAAATGACATTACAGTTATTTTTTCCTGAATCAAGTGTTAACGAATCATGGAGCTTTTCCATGTTATATTAATAGATTTAAATTGAAAGAAATGCCATGCAAATTCAAATGTGGTCAAAAGTTCTGATGCCATCCGCATGATTGTGGACTGTCAGAGCATCGCAAACTATCGACAATAACTTTTACCACAAACTTTAACAATGAATCTATTACATAAACTTGAACAAAATGATAAAGGTCGATTAATATTGCCAAAAATAATGGAATCCACATATCATTATGAAGAATTGTTATATTCATAATTCATGCAGTATTCTTATAGTTCTCATAATTTTGCAAATGTCTATTGTAACTGCACCAAACTACAACTGCTTATGATTATTCAGTGTATGTTAAACATTATAATAAGCTTTTATTGTCCAATTCTTATTCATTGTATCCAATGATGATCTCATACTTTGTATTGCATTTTTTGGATCATTGTAAATATTGCACATAGTAATTAATAAAGATGTTGGTGAGGCCAACACATCTTCAAGTCAGAAGACTTCAAAATTTTTGCTAGGATATTTCAATTTTCTTAATTTTTATTTTAGCGTTTTCGCTTTTAAATTTATTCAACTTAAACCTTTGGCTCCGATGATACCTCTGCTTTGAGGTGAGGACCGGATAATCCACTTTAATGTTAACAAGACAACCGCTTTCATAAGCATTCGAATTTAATTACGAATTTAATTACTAGAATTTTTTTTATCATAAACATTTTAACTTGATGCCACTTTTGAAAATGCTTTCAAAGAATATCTAAGTTAGTTAAAAATATCCAAAATATAAGACCTCTGTAAAATTTAAAAGAATGCTCTTTTATCTCGTTGAAAGAAAAGTTGTTATATCTAGTGTTGCCTGTTTTAAGTACGGAAAGCGAGTTTTACTTGACCTGCCGCTGTCTGAAATTTCATTACCATATTCGAAATTTCATGTGTTTTGGAAGAGCTTCGTATATCTTATATATAGTATCGGCACGTAATCACATGAGTACAAGAGTTATATAATAGGAAAAAGGACCGATCAGTCTAGACTTGTCACATGCAAGTAGAGTTGTTTTTTTTTTTAAGTACGAGTATAATACTGCTTTAGCATGCGGATTACATTGGGAATAGGAAAATTAGCAGCACAGTCAAATGAATAAAATTTTCATATTTCGTTGATTTTAATCTTGAAATTGTTTTCACGAAATATCAAAAATCATCTATCTAGTCATGCAATTTGAAAATATGGCGAATAACACATGCGGCTGAGCGTGTAAGATTGCTAAAAACTAGTAATTTGTCGGGTCATATCCTCCCAACGGGCTGACTTCATGGGAATTTTCTTAGTTTCCTCCATGCGTAACATACATACGAGCCACTTTCCTGGAAAAGGAAACCTTTCCTTCAGCTATATAGTTATAATATGCTTTGCCATAATCTAATTAAATCCGAAACCACGATTTGTGTCAGTAATTCATTCTTTATGGTTTAAAATAATTTAGAATATTTAAGCTTAGCAGTTTAGAAATAATATCTGTGCAGTTTAGAAAATAATTTACCATGTTTTCAGTCCAGTAATACATGTTGACATATTTCTGGCTGATGTAACCTTGCTTACTTCCCTGACTCGCATTTCGCATTCCATTCGTAGTCACACACTTTCTTTCTAAGATTAAAATGCAGTCTTGATGGGCATACGAATTCGTAAGCCAAACCGTTGCCGCACATGTAGTAGACAGAGCAGTTGCTGGGATGTCTGTAGAAGATGGGGTATTTTCCATTGACGGATGGACAGAAAGGGCTTGGGAAACCGTCTGATGCCAAATGTGCCCCTAAAAGGCGAAAGGAAAGTTTCAGAGTTTTTTCATATTGTTCTATACATTTATGTAACACTTACAGTTGGAAATTCTAGTTGAGTGGAAACTATTTAGTAAAATTTGAATTAGTATAATGCCTGTTAAATTTTAAATGGAAATATTCTTAACAAGGCATAAAATAAATCGAAGGTAGCCATTATTTTGTGCTATTTACTTTCATGAAAGCTTTTTTATGGAATTCGCTCTTCGCATGATTTAATATGGCAAAATATAGAACAAAAACCTGGTTTCATACTTTAATCTGCAAATGAGTAGTAAAGCATACCAGATTATAAGCAGCTAGCAATAATTTGACATGTTTATCTAAAACTCTAAAATTTTCATGCAAAACATAATTATTTTCCATGGCAATTTTAAGATTTTGCTAAATTTCTCCTGCTTTTAAATTATCCTGGAACTCTGCAACCTTACAATTTACCTTGCGACATACTAATGACTAATAAGCTAAAGCGCAGAACTTTAATAATTAATTCTGGATTTATACTGAGTGTCTGAATGAGCTGACTTCATAGGATTTCGCACCGGCGGTTCGAGAAAGAAGTGATGAAAAATAATGACACTTACTTCCGAAATCAATATGTTTGTTGCATTGTGATTTGCATAGCTTAAAGAATTACTTAAGCGATTTTAACACATCCCTTTGTGAGCGTCATTAGTCGCTCACAAAGGGGTGTGTTAAAATCTATGTCTAGGCGATACTCATTCCAGAACGTTCGAAAATATCACTGGTATGACCAGTTCTATCGCCTGCGTAATTCGGACGAGCACTTCTGCAACATCGGCCAAAGGCGTTTCATACATTCTTTCCTTTACAAGTCCCCACAGAAAGAAATTTAAAAGGGTTAAGTCATAGAAAGAAATCTGAATGGGGCCAAGCTGCCAGAAAAAGAAATCTAAAGAGGTCAATTCCGCTCCGGGTCCATTTTCCTGGCCAACAATATTTTTGAGATCTTCTGTCCAGCAATGAAATGAACCAATGAAACTTCCAACAATGAAAATGGTTAGTCCTTTACAAAAAGAGTTGACCATCCCATAGAGATGCTTCAGTTAAGTGTTTACAACAAACGGAATGATTTAGACCTACGTCTCTTATCTTCAATAATGCAAATCGGACTTTCTCGGCACAGGTCTAATGTAACGGTAGGTCTCTTTTTTGGTGAACAAAAATTAGGGTCATATCCTTTGAGTGCTTCAATATAATAAATTAACCGTTTGAGTCCGGCGGGCGTTTCACTTGTCGTATGCCAAAAATACGGCGTAGCGCGATAGCGCTTCTCTTGTTTTGTATCGAGAATGCGAAGACGCTGCTGTTGGTAAGTATACTTGAAAAAAAATATTGAAAATTGGAAAAAAAAAAAAAAAAAAATTGAAATATTCAATTGGTTTCGCATCAGGAGGAGGGGCATGCTTTGGTCCAGGTACTTCAGAAAAAGTATTCGATTCGTTCGAAAAAATTGTATCCACGAGTAAAAACTCATCAATAATATCGTCATCGGAGGTACTTGCAGTTACTTCATCATCATCACTGCTATCGCTAATAACTCGTAATCTCTTAGAACGAATGATGATGTCACTTCCACTATCACTTTCAAGGTCATTACTATACTCTTCATTATCACTTCTGATAACATAGTCACTTTCAAATGAATCAGAACTTGACATGGGTTATTTCGTAATTATCAGTATAACACTTGGTATAAAAATGAAAACAATTTCCAATTCCTATAAAACAACTGCTACTGATATCACTACAACTGCTCTCAATAATTGCGTAAAGTATACTAACCAACAGCAGCGTCTTCACGTTCTCGGTACAAAACAAGAGAAGCGCTATCGCGCTGCCCCGTATTTTTGGCATACGGCAAGTGAAGCGCAATAGCGCTTCGCCGGACTCAAACGGTTAAGTTCCTGTTTCTTTGGGGAATGAAAAGGTAAAGAAAGCTATCAAGGTATCAACTAGGTAGAAATAGGCTTATATGCAATTTTAAATTACATCAATTGTAAGGACCATAGCTAGAATTTACAGCAGTTGTTTTCTACTATCCTAAACTGACCTCAATTATTATTTTTGAAAATTTAGCTAAATAATCGTGCAATTTTAATATGATTAAATTACAGACAGTCCAAAACAATTTTAGACTGCCAAATTAACAATAAGTTTTACAAAATCGTAATACTGTAGAGTCCCGCAAACTCGACAGAATGTGGACTGAGAGACTGTTGAGTTTCTGAAAAGTTGAGTTTTACGAAAAAAAGGGTGGATTTTTCAAACTCTTGACGTCCAGCACCTAAATTCATGGAAATTTTGTTTACACTTTTCCCTTTGCCCAGTGTCTTTAAGGGATCTAGTTTCATTTCCATTGTCACGTTAGTTTGCTTTTCCTTTCGAACCACATTTTCACTTCAGAGAATATCAAAAGTCCCCCAAAATATGCAACACTTATACGCCTGAATGTAAACTGAGGAATGATACCCGCAATGAACTGGTGTGAGTTTAATTTGCAATAAGATGCAGTCACAAAACTTCAGACAATTCTCCTAATGTTTCGCAACAATAGAAAGGAATGTGAGCCAGCGGGCCAGTCGCTACCTAATTTTCTTCCTATCCTCAGAAGAAGCAAACAGCGTTGCCAAGTATACAACATATCTTAAAATGTGTTAAGCGGTTCCAAGAATTATTGGCACAATGCAAAAATGACAAAAATTGCAAAAAAAGAACACTCAAATCTTTGAACAGACCGTAAAAGACAAACGCATAAATAATAATTATATGTACTGTGTGTAATATTCGCCCTGTTTGGTCTAGAGATTTCTTAAAAAAGTTCCTAAAAAGTTGTCGATTTATACGAAATATCGAGATATCGGGACTCTACTATATTATAATTCAAGGAAATTAATGACTAGACCACTTTAGATCCATTTTTCAGTTTTGTTTGCGAAACAGAAAAGAAACCTTACTATCACCAACAATAACTTTATATCAGTTACTAGTTGCCAACATAGATTAAAAGCTATTGAGAACTGTAAATATAAATTTTTCGAGTATCCATTCTCTAAATATCTTCTTAAAATCTATATGACTTTGAAGAGACTCCACTTATCCTTGCATTTATGACATTTTTATCATTTGTAGTTTTCTTTTAAGGTATGCCGCATACATATCCGATGTAAATAGCTGGCTTGTGTATGTGCTCAATAGAGGTAAATCTTTAAACAGAGATATTTCAAATCAGTGACTCCTCCAATCAACCACGACATCAGGTCGTAGCTGATTGACATATTCTATCAGAACTTAATTTGAAAATCTCCGTCGAATATATATATATATTGAAGAAAGGAGAACAAACTAAAAAAGACCTGTGCGGTCAAGAATTTTGCGCATTGAACTGCAAAATTAGAAAACAAGGTAAAAAAGAAATTCTTCATGCTATTGCTTGAAAGCAAATGTGATACTGTGTGTCAAATATATATATATATATATATATATATATAGATTTGATACTCCGCGATTTATAAGAATAGAATTAATATTGTTAAAGATATTATAGCAACAAGAACCAGAGTAAATTGCGTTAAATTTTTAGGATGCAGAAGTTGTGCAATTTAGTTTGCAGTGTTAAATAGAATTTGCAGGGTTCGAAGGTTAAGCAGAAACTTCTTCTTTAGCTACAGGAATGAACAGTCCTGCAAATTTACACAACTTGCGCTGATTCTTGCTGCTATATAGTATCTTTAACATTTATTCTCGACTTGTTATTTTAGGTACTATTGAATTAATCTTAATTGTTCATATTTTTTAATTATTAATGCCACTTCTTGTGAATATTAACCCGCATTTCTTTCAGCAGACACATAAATTATGCAAATGAATTTAAATTACTACACAGTATTATATCAAAGTGAGAAGACGTTTTTAAGCTAATATATATATATAATTTTATCTGCATATTATATAATGTGGACTTTTGGAATCGCAAAAATTTATTTACGGTCTAGTTCATGTAGATTATTTAGCAACAGGTTGTAGAGACATTAGGATTTTTTTGAAAGCAGGCAAAATGAAAAATTAGAACCACCTTCGCCGGTAATCGAACGACGGACCTCTGGTATACCGGCCCAGCGTGCAGAACCACTACACCACGAAGACGCGCTAGGAAGGCGGGAGAAATTTCTTATAAGATTTTCAATAATATGAATGAAGCTAATTTTAAAAACTTGCTAGGCAAGAAAATCTTGAGTTTTAAGAATATTTTCTAAAACTGACAACATCATTTGAAAGAGCGTTAATAAAAGAATATCTTCGTTTTTTGTTCACGAATTTTCTCTGTTTATCAGATCAAGCAAATTTAAACCATTGTCTAAAAGCTGTCCATTATATTTTGCATTATCGTTATAAGATGCATTATTAATATATTTTACTTTTGTTTCATTTTCTTTTTCACACATTTCCAAATATGACTTATATTATTTCTTCATCTTCAGAGTCTTTAAAACTCTCTGTCACAATCCGAACCATCAAAATTTAATTTACCCAGATGTTCATATTGTTCTTTTTGAGCGAGATTTCGTAACTTTTCCTTCATTATTAATTTCTTCGTTGTTATATTCAGTAAATTATTACTATTAACTTTAGCAAGTAAATTCATACTATTGGGAAATACAATATTATTGGAAGAGAAGTTAACGCCAGACGACCGTAGATGAAAACAAATTAAGATTAAAGTTTTATTTCTATTACATTAAATTTTATATGCACTTCACATATACATTTATTTCTTTGTTAGCTTCATCAAAATTAGTTCTGCGGTCATCTGATTTTTTCAGTATTCGTCTAGAGTCTTTAAATTATGGATCAATAGTGTAAAACCTCGCAAGGAGAAAAAATATTCTCCGTTAATGCTACTCTTGGGAGAAAATTCACACAAAAGTTGGAAAAGCTTAATTAAAACAACAAGTTCATAAAAATAATACTAATAAAAATACATTCTGCTATTTTAAGAATGCAAAATTGCTGACTTGAGAGTCTTCTTCAGATAGTGATAACGGATTATAAGTTGAGTAAAAAATCAGTCAGAGTAGGGGTACAATCTTAAAAAAATCAGAAGTACAAAATTCTAACCGTTATCACATTGAGCTCTGTGAGGGAAATCACAAACTTGAAGTTTTGGATTGAAATGAGTTCCCAGCTGACAGCGGGACAGATGTGGTATCCCGCTTGAGCAGATATAGAATTTTTCACAGTCCGTCTCATGTGGCAGAAGAACAGGATAAGTTTTGCTTTCTGAAGGACAGTCCACGTTCAACCCCACTTCATTATTATCTTTCTTTTTTGGAGTGACAAAATCATCTGGAAAAGAAGAAATATATTATCTCGACTTTACAAAAGTATGTAAAGTATGTAACAATCTTTCATTTCTTAAATAATAATAATAATAATAATAATAAATGTAATTTCCTTAAACTTTAAGTTAAAAAAGAGCATTCAAAAAGAAGTATTTATTGTCCAAATTCCCTAGAATAATGGATGAACGGTCCAAAGTGGTCTGTCATGACACCATTTAAACGTAACACATAGTGCGTCTACAAAAATTTAGGGCTAACTTCGTACGCAATTGAAAATTGAAGGACACTACATTCTTACTTCATAGGTCTCAACGTAGTATGATCTTTTAAGTCTAAACATTGCTTTTCATATTCACGTAGCTGTTTGATTCCTACGGAGAACTCATCTTTTGAAATACGCTTTAAGTGTTTAATTTTTTGGAACTGCTTCATTGCTATTAAAGTATTGTGATTGAAACTGAAATGTATTAGAGGATTCTGATATTTTTCGTTGTTAGAAACTATTTGACGGAAACGGAATTATGTGACAATGCAATTATCGTGCAGTGAAACCGGCTATTCAATTGAACCTTTTCAGGCTTAATACGTTAAATTGTGTTGAAATGTCTGTTACTTGCTTTTTTATAAAATATGAAAGTTTCTATTTTCCAGCAGGGAATATACTTTTTGAATTTTAACTTTACAATCACAGAAAGGTACCAAAATGTTCTTTGCTCGAGATTTTTGAAATAGAAGTTTCTGTAGTCATGGCAAACCTCCATCAACCCAGGAAAATGATTGCCATTTTGTGTCAGAATCATTACTAAAAAATCAAATTTCATTTCCAGCGGCAATCTGATAAAAAATTTCTTGTTTTATTCACTTTTACAGAAAAACATTATTGCAATACTTTGTTCACTTTTCAAGCAGCAGATATCTCTGAAACAGAAAGTGATTAACTGCGCATAAAATTCTGTCCATAAGTAGATGATATATTAGAAGAAACAAGTTAAGATATCGTAACAATGAATACTGTCAACGGTTGGCGCTTTCTGGAATTTATTACAAAAATTAGTTCCTCAAACTTTGTAGACGCACATTGTAGATTAACATTAAGTCTTCGCTTTTTTTTTTTCAGACTTAAGTCTTAGCTTCTACTGAAAACTCTACTGAAATCTTAGCTTGAACTGAGAAATTTGCTGATTAAAAAAATCTGGGTAAAGAACCCATCACGCTTGTTATCAGTTGATCCTATCATATCGAAAATGCATTATCTAAAATGACTCACATTTATATTGGACACTTGTGCTTTTCATTTTTCCTTAAAAATATCACCTACTAAATGCAGTAGAGCTTTGGATTATGAACGCCTCGCTTCATGGCCAATTTGATCCACGAACACGTTACCTGAAGACCTCGGATGACACACACACACAAACACCCCCCCCCAAAAAAAAACACTTATGATAATGAATGGTGTTTCGAGTTATGAACACTTAAATCACCAACATGGGATATGCAAAGATGTGTTACTTTTATGACATAATTAACATTCGTAGACTTTTGGAAACACCATTTTAATATTTTCCAGCGTTAAAGGGGACATGTATCATATCAACTGGCGAAATGCAACTACTTCGGGACAAAGGTTATTACGGTATAGCCTTTTTCAAAATAAATGTATACTCTAAATTCTTTTTTTTTATTTAAAATAGACAGCTTGTAGATTATATAAAACTGGTAAAGTTTAAATTTAAAGCATTGTTGTTAGTGTTTATAAAAACCAGTTGTTTAATTTCTCTTACCTTTGACGAATCTTCTGTGACAGTGTGCTAGTTTGGTACACTTTTCTTAAAAAATACTTCATCAAACTCCTTCAAATTTTGCATGATGGTTAAAAACATATCATTTAAGAATAATAAGCAGTATTTTACATTTTACTCAAGAAAAATATTAAAAATAAATTAGTAAAATGTTTTGAAAATCATAGAAAAAAAAGGGTATTAAATTTTTAATATATCCAAAACTAATGATCCTAAATTTTATATCTTGTGTAGTTTCAAACAAATAGCTAAGATAAACAACTGTGAAAAATTTAAACCTTCTAGAGGGAATAGCTTTTAAGAAACGTGTACCGAAAGTTAAAAAAAAAAAAAAAAAAAAAAAAAAAAAAAAAAAAAACACGTTTTGAGAAAAAATGAAAAAACAATTTAAACACTAATAATTTATTAAAAAAGCATTTTAACATTTTCCTGCACTATAATAATCTTGAACTGGCATTTCTACATCTAGTTGTTTTTGTTTTATTAACTTATGCTTCTTTCTGGCCATTTTAAAAAGCTTTTGATAAACGAGATGGGCCTCACGAATTCTATCGCAATTTTCTCAAAAACTTTAACATATAAAACACTGGTTGTATTTCCAATAATTCCGTTATTTATTGCGACTTTCTACACCATCACTAAGACATATTAACGCATCTAATAAACATAATTTTAATGTGATGACACTCACAAAAATAATTTTTGGTATGCGTGTCCAAATGCAATTATTAAAACTTTCATTCGAGTTTTGAGTTGTCTGACGTATAACAGCACAAAGAGCACTTGTCGTTGGCAACAGCCTTAAGCAGCCAACAGCCTTAAGCAGCCTTAAGCCTTAAGCCAACAGCCTTAAGCCTCGCACCGCGCGCCCAAACCCAACGCCTGGACCGTCCGGTTGGCAGTTCTACGAATCTAATGCCACCGGGTTGACGCTCATTCTTACTGCCCAGGTCCAGTATTTATTGAATAACCAAATAGTTAAGTAGTACATGGCCGAACTGGGCTGAAATATATTTGCTTGTAACATACAATTTCCGAATTGGTGCATGCCTGTGTACAGATATTACAAATTACATACCTGTGTGTGTACACCTTACATTTTTGTACATAATACATTTCGATGCTTGTTAACAGTCACATGCTTATGAGAGTACAAATTACATAATACATTTAGATACTTGTAGCTGACACATGAGTATGATATTACAAATTACAATTAAATACATGACACGTTGGTATGCTTGTTACAGACAAATGGGCATGAGAAATGCCTTTTGTTGGCTGTCAGTGTGCTAGCATGTGCATAGTTTTACCCGGAGTTATGCTGCTGAATATCTGAGATTATTACTTAATTTTTTTTTTCCGGTGATTGATACCTTGAGGTATCGCTCTCAGTGTAGGCGAATATTGTCTTTGCTGGGTGCGTTTTGCACAGACCATTTCATGTTAGATATTCATTAATGGGTTACACTTGGCATATTTCAGTGCCCATGTCCATTAGCTTTTTTATGATCTTTACTATAGCCTTGCTGTGATAGTTGTGCTTAATTAGGAACCTTCTAAAGGCCTGCTCGTTGTTCTGCGGGTACGGAAAGTGCATTCCTTCTGTAAGCGGGCACTGATACAAATAGTGTTCTGCTGTGCCCAATTCACCACAGCTGCATTGTTCTGAGTTTGATATTCCAAATCTCGCAAAGTAAGCAGGAAAGGGCCCATGCCCTGTAATATAGTATACCATTTGCGGCCGTGTCATTATGAATTCAGAGTCTACTTTGGGCAGCAGTGCATGGGCTCGGCGGCCGGTGTCCGCATTGTCCCACGCTGTCTGCCATAGTAAGTGAGCTGCATCTCTCAATTTCCGTTTGAGGTAGGACACTGGTTGCGGTATTTCTATCTGTGCGGCCTCCATGTTCTGGGCGGCATTAGATTCGTAGAACTGCCAACCGGACGGTCCAGGCGTTGGGTTTGGGCGCGCGGTGAGAGCCACCCATGAGGCATCACGGGCCATACTCAAGATAAGGGCGGGCGTGACACTATGCTAATTAACTTAATAGTAAAGGGGTGGTGGTCACGTCCTCCGTCACTTGTCACTTGTCATGTTCTGGGCGGCTTCCTTAGCTAATCTATCAGCTGTCTCATTGCCGGAGTTTCCGACATGAGCTCTCGTCCATTCCAATGTTATTCTCATTTCTTGGTTTCGACGTAAGTTTTCCTGTATACCCTCTATGATTGGGGAGCTGTGGGCGGGATTGAGGACAGCATGCAGGGTTGACTGACTGTCCGTAATGACACGACTGCAGGGGCGTTCCCGATGTATAATATCTTGTATTGCGTTACTGATGGCAGTGGCCTCGCTTTGGAATACGCTGTTCTGCGCTGTTAGGTGCCCCTTCCATAGATTGACAATATTATCTTCGGCTCGCCGCATATTTCGGTTGCTTCCATGTCGCACATTTACAAACATCAATGCCTTCTCCGATATTCGAACCCGGGCCCTTCGGCCACGGCAGCGTCGCTAACCACTATACCGGTTGAGCGGTGGGTTTTGACTTCTTCCATGAATGCAATTTGTCAATAGTTTCTTTGTAAGAAAGACTTCTAAAGACCTTTTTCGCAGCTAATAAAACAGGTTCTAACAAAAAATATTTATGAACATCCCTTTTACCAGCTGATATGGCTTTATTGTTGCCACAACAGACATCTGTCCCTTCACAACTGGTGGGCTTGCTAGTGCTTGTTTACATTTTCTAATGAAGGATTTCGGTCTTAAAATTTCTAAACATACATAAATTATATATTTTTGGAATCGTCTCAGGCTACTTTATTTTTTTAGTCCAAAACTGAAAATTTGAATATTTGAAAATTTTTATGTCATATGTACCCTTAATTCTTATGAACAAAGCCTAGCAGGAAGTGACTTACAGAGTCACTGGAGGAAATTGTAGACAGACTGGGTTGTAGGCAGAAAACTTTGAGCATTCTGACATTTAAGACTTTTTTCTGGTAACCATGTAGTATGCAATCTACCTCTTTCAATTAGTTATATTATTTACTTTTTGGGTGATGGCACTTTAACTGGCTGTTGTTTTAATCATTTCTGTCTTTTTACCGCCCGTTCGAATTTAAAAATAGCGTTTTAGCGGCTCCATCTAAGAAATAACTAACTAAAAGCTGTAGATTGCATACTACATGATTATCTTTTTTTTTCCTTTTTTCTTTTTTTGGTTATCTATCATATTGTATGACTGGGCGAAGTCATGGTTAGTAAGTTAGCAAAGAAGACATGGAGAAGTTACTAGAGGACCATAAAAAATGAATTGAGCAAGAGAAACAACTTTAGAGGAATCAACAAAAGGCGATTGGGGAGGAAATATTCACTTGAAGAAGAAAGAAAAAAAAATAATTCCAGTTCTCTAAACCGCGAAATTTGTGCAAAATGCAATTAAGATAGAAAGTTTTCACTTAATAATATGCCACTGATAAAGCAGCAACAGCTACAGCATAATTGTTTTAATTGATAATATCATGTTTAACTTTAAAACGCAAATTGTGAAGTGACTGAATTTGTTGAAGCAGGAAACATGAGCAATACCCTTCACCGGATTTGAACTCCAAACCTCGAGATCGCCAGCCAGACTTTTTTTTCAATCATACCAAGAAGCGCGCACTCAAAAAAAAAAAAAAAAAAAAAAAAAAAAAAAAAAAAAAAAAACACCTAAAAACAGCAGATGTTTTTATGAATGGGCAACAAACAACAAACATAATTCTCATAATTCTCATCATTTTCTACTTATGCCGTCCACTCTCTTTTGTGTATATACAGCACATTTAAATTAAGGTTTTGTCGATTTTATTTGTTTAATGTTATTTTTTCTTTTTTTCTTTTATATTTAATGATTTTCATTAGTTTGGGGTTATGAACTTGTCCACAAGTACTATTGTAAAATTTCGATAAACAAACCTTTGTGGCCCAGGAACGATTTAAACCATTTGACGTTAATTCCGATGGAAACATGTTTAGGCGCACCAGCAATTCGATTGACAAACGGCTTTCAGGAAGGAATTAAATTCGTGAATCAAGTTTCCGTTCTCTCAGTAGAAAGTTTTATTGATTTTTATCAGGGGAATTATTAAATTTCTAACAGAACTTATCGTTAGTTTGTAGAGTCTCGCCATGTTCATTTCAAATATGCAACCGTTAATATATTTTGCTAAATCAGTAATAATTTCCAAATGTAGGCGAAAGTTTTGGTAATGCATTTTCATTTAAAACAAGGCAAAAAAAAAAAAAAAAAAAAAAAAAAAAAGACAAAAAACGTTATTTTTCCAAAACATCTCAACAAAAGGTTTCGAGTGTACGAATTACTACGTGAAATTACTCATTAACACTTTTTGAATAAATTATTTTATTATATTTTATTATCTTATTATATTAGTGACAGAATAATATGCAAATTATCACAAGCATATGTTGATGATATCTACTTTGCCACAAGCAAGGCTTGAAATAGAGAAAAAAAATAATATATCAGAAAAATAATTATGTTTTAATACTTAGTACAAGATCTACCCAAATAAATTTTAAAAATACAAGTTCCCGAAAGCAAATGTGAGCATTGTAAGTAAATGAGCTCATCGACTGGGTCTGTGTTTGTCGAAAACAGAAGTCATTTAAAACAATTTTTGTAAATTCTTTGTAATATTTGATTTTATGGTTGTAGGCAGAAAACTTTGAGCATTCTGACATTTAAGACTTTTTTCTGGTAACCATGTAGTATGCAATCTACCTCTTTCAATTAGTTATTTATTATTTACTTTTTGGGTGATGGCACTTTAACTGGCTGTTGTTTTAATCATTTCTGTCTTTTTACCGCCCGTTCGAATTTAAAAATAGCGTTTTAGCGGCTCCATCTAAGAAATAACTAACTAAAAGCTGTAGATTGCATACTACATGATTATCTTTTTTTTTCCTTTTTTCTTTTTTTGGTTATCTATCATATTGTATGACTGGGCGAAGTCATGGTTAGTAAGTTAGCAAAGAAGACATGGAGAAGTTACTAGAGGACCATAAAAAATGAATTGAGCAAGAGAAACAACTTTAGAGGAATCAACAAAAGGCGATTGGGGAGGAAATATTCACTTGAAGAAGAAAGAAAAATAATTCCAGTTCTCTAACACGCGAAATTTGTGCAAAATGCAATTAAGATAGAAAGTTTTCACTTAATAATATGCCACTGATAAAGCAGCAACAGCTACAGCATAATTGTTTTAATTGATAATATCATGTTTAACTTTAAAACGCAAATTGTGAAGTGACTGAATTTGTTGAAGCAGGAAACATGAGCAATACCCTTCACCGGATTTGAACTCCAAACCTCGAGATCGCCAGCCAGACTTTTTTTTCAATCATACCAAGAAGCGCGCACTCAAAAAAAAAAAAAAAAAAAAAAAAAAAAAAAAACACTAAAAACAGCAGATGTTTTTATGAATGGGCAACAAACAACAAACATAATTCTCATAATTCTCATCATTTTCTACTTATGCCGTCCACTCTCTTTTGTGTATATACAGCACATTTAAATTAAGGTTTTGTCGATTTTATTTGTTTAATGTTATTTTTTCTTTTTTTCTTTTATATTTAATGATTTTCATTAGTTTGGGGTTATGAACTTGTCCACAAGTACTATTGTAAAATTTCGATAAACAAACCTTTGTGGCCCAGGAACGATTTAAACCATTTGACGTTAATTCCGATGGAAACATGTTTAGGCGCACCAGCAATTCGATTGACAAACGGCTTTCAGGAAGGAATTAAATTCGTGAATCAAGTTTCCGTTCTCTCAGTAGAAAGTTTTATTGATTTTTATCAGGGGAATTATTAAATTTCTAACAGAACTTATCGTTAGTTTGTAGAGTCTCGCCATGTTCATTTCAAATATGCAACCGTTAATATATTTTGCTAAATCAGTAATAATTTCCAAATGCAGGCGAAAGTTTTGGTAATGCATTTTCATTTAAAACAAGGCAAAAAAAAAAAAAAAAAAAAAAAAGACAAAAAAAACGTTATTTTTCCAAAACATCTCAACAAAAGGTTTCGAGTGTACGAATTACTACGTGAATTACTCATTAACACTTTTTGAATAAATTATTTTATTATATTTTATTATCTTATTATATTAGTGACAGAATAATATGCAAATTATCACAAGCATATGTTGATGATATCTACTTTGCCACAAGCAAGGCTTGAAATAGAGAAAAAAAATAATATATCAGAAAAATAATTATGTTTTAATACTTAGTACAAGATCTACCCAAATAAATTTTAAAAATACAAGTTCCCGAAAGCAAATGTGAGCATTGTAAGTAAATGAGCTCATCGACTGAGTCTGTGTTTGTCGAAAACAGAAGTCATTTAAAACAATTTTTGTAAATTCTTTGTAATATTTGATTTTATGGAACTTTCTGTATAATAAATTAAGTGAATGCAAAATATTTCATAACGACGCAAATTTTAAATAGAATGACTTCTTGAGTTTGAAGTTGCTCAATCTATGAAACTTTTGCTTTAGATTTGTTTTAAGATTGTTTGGATTAATTACACCAATGCCGCTAGCTCTATGAAATCTAATTACAAAGTGCTACTAACTTCCTTTTCCGAGTTATCGAGAGGGAAGAAATAATTGCATGCAGACTAAAGCTTTTAGCATTTAACATTAGCACTTAAGAGTAGCGTTTAACATTAAAACTTTAATGAGTCTTTTCTTAAGCATTACAGATAAAATATAAGGATAATAGTCTACCTGACGAAGCTAAAATTCACATTTCAAAGATAATCCTACGAGGAACCAAAATTCACTACTTTTTATCAACTTAGTCATAAAATCTTTAGCCTACAGGACTTCGTCACACACTCCGTCGCCACACACTCCAGTCTGAATAATCAACCTCTACTGCTTCTAGTGATTCCATCCAAGGTGATCTGCCATGCCTATGACCATACTCGGGTGCTGTTCTTTAGACAGATTTCAATTCAGACGAGATCCTGCATAAGCCAACTGCAGGTTACCGGACTGACGGACTGACTGATTAACTACTGGTTCCAGTTAACTGCTGAAATCTCTACGCTCTTTTCAAAATCTGCATAACTCTCTGGAGGGAAAGAGCTCATGACTAAGTTCGAAGTGACAGAATAATATGCAAATTATCACAAGCTATCAGCTTTTGGATTTCAGGGGAACTTATCGACCTACGATTATGCAATTCTGATATCGTCTTCAATTATAACGAATCAGAGAACGTGAAATACAACTGGAAAATAAAGAGGTCATTACTAATTCGGTCTGCAAAAGGTACCAGAGATTGCAAGTACAACAGAGAGCTCTGAATTAAAGAGACTATTGTTGCTAGCAAGATCTTCGCATAATGAAGTCAAATAACTATACTTACCTTTGAAAGCTATTTAAATAATTGTGTGTATGCATTTAAAAATATTGATTTATTAATTGGCTCTCGATGATGTTAGTAGAGGTAATATGATATTAAGCTTTTCGTAGATTTGTAATAAACATATTTGAGTTCAGTGTTGCAATTCCATACACCACCCTCAACCAAACCACTAGTTGTTCCACCTTAAATCATTAAAAATAATTTTGATGATTTCCGTGCGGTTTGATTAAGTTTTAGGTTAATGAAGGATGTTATAAAGTATGCAGTTACACTAAAGTATTATTTAAAGCTACTGCACCGCTAAGGTTAAAACGTTGCTTTCGTTAATACTTTGACTAATTTTACTCCTAGCTGTCATGTGAAGCAACAAAATGCTGTAAATTTAGAAAATAAAGAAAAGTGAAAGAAAAACAATTCTATTAACTTTAACAAATTAAACTCGAAAGTAATAATTTAATACTTACTGGAGTCGCAACCAGAATTAGCCGGGAAATCACAGGCTGAGACTTTAGGGTTGAAATGGAGACCCGATGTACATGTTTTCGGATGAGGTACTCCGGAATCGCAAATGAAGAACTTCCGGCAGTTGGTAGGGTGAGGCAGGAACACTGGATGTTTAGGATTTACAGCGGGGCAGCTGATTTCGGGGTATACATCGTCAACTTCTTCAGAAGATTCATCCAGATCTTAAGAAAAGAACATCATGTTAATAGAATTCGATATCTCTGCGAATAATGCACAATTATCTAAAATTTTTTCAACTGAAATATGTACGACATTTTTATCTGAAATTTTCCAGTTCTACAAGTTACACACGTATATACTTTAAATAAGAAAAGAATAACACAAATTGCAATAAAATATTCACGTGGAATGAAAATTAACGTTATTCTCAGATTCAATTGTTTCCAAAATATAAATGTAGCCTGAATTTATACAGTAAAGTTTTCAGTTAAATTTCAAGGCTTGAGTTAACAATGATATATAACTATAGTTAAGCTAACATAATAATTAGCTAACAGTTTTGTCTAGAACTGTGTACATTAACATTTCATAAGTAATTTCTAATTTATGTAGTCCTAGGTGAAAGTCTTAGCGAAGCTGTTTGAAAAAGATCCCAAGATTATATTCATCGTACTAAATATAAGTCAGTTCTAAAAGCTAAAATTTCATGTGAGTTTTATTTTCTTTATTATGTTAAAAATTAGTTTTTGCATATTATTTCCTCGATATATCTGTCTTTAAATTTGAGCATAGTAATTTAATTTTGAATATTTCAGAATGCATTTTAAAATATTCTTGATTCCTTCACAAATGTTTTCTGTGAAAGCAATTGTGGTCGATTTTTAATCACAAATAAGCTGTCTGTTTTCACCTAAAAGTAGTAATCTATCAGGAATTAAACTTAATTAAGTTGTATTTGAAATGTAATCAACAAGTTAAAACTACAACCTTTCTTTTCATTTTGAAACAAATTTCCGTACAAGTGCAAAGCATAATGATTTTATAGAACATTTAGATATCTCAGCTGTAGATAGAATTACCTTATAAATTTAGAGGTCATAAGTCAAATACAGATCATGTCTAAATTTAAAGCTTTATTAAAACCTTGTAAATTTAGAGCTGAAGTTCTGACAATTGTTCCAAAGATTATTAACAGAGTTTTTCAGGTTAAATTCTGTTCTATTCTTCTTGATTCTTCACGATACTCGCGCAGACCATAGTGTTTATTGAAATTAACTGACACGCCACAAATTTACTTTAGTCTTGTAAATGAAAATAATCTTTATAATCAAGGTAAGCACTTTCAGAGTATAGCTTTCCTTGATTATAAAGATTACTCATCGTTAATGTAGTAGTTTTATCATCAAGAACATGGCTCAAGGTGCACCACAGGTGGCGATTGATTTTGCACTTGCAAGAACGGAAAAGTTACTTCCCTCTTTTAATGCAGAACCCATCGGGAAATGAATCAGCAATCTCCCACTCCTCGTTTCCACACAACTCTCTGTAGAGAACTTTTCGTTTTCACTGCACAAGCAACGGTGCAGCTCGGTTCTACAAGCAAACCTGATTTAATTAACTCACCATCGGTAAATGGTTTTCCTTTCTGGCTAAAAAATGAGCTATTCGTAAGCTGACTTTAGTTACATCCTCATTGTATTTTTTTTTTTTTTTTTTTTTAATTTTACGAATAAATTGCGTTGATGACGCATTCTGTTTTAAACTTTCCAACTCTCACGATCGTTTTTTTTCTGTGATGTTTGAATACCATGTCGCGTTTTTAGTTTGGTAGTGATGACTTATATTGAACTCTTTTCGCACAGCTTTTATGTCATTGCATATTAAACATAAAACTTTGTCATTTAATTCTAACATTTGTCTTCGAAGACTAAATTCCTTTCTTTATTTGATATTGAGAGGGATTTGGTAACGATAGGTAGTGAATAAAATAAACTAAAAAGAAAGAAATATAGCAGAGTATTTTGACAGACGATTCCACGGGCACTGCTACAGCAAAACTGATAATGCGCTTGCGCATAAACATATCCCTGTTGGAAGTGCTTTTGAAGACAACGACAGCCGAGAGAATGCGACAGCAGCACCACTTGTAATCATTATTCACAACTTTTCAGCTGAACTATCAGCCGTTGCATAAGCGCGTAATATGATTCATTTTTCATGTAGAAAACAATATCAGCTCACTGGCTGGATTAAAAATAAGCAGCGGGACGGGTTTGGCCAGCGGGCCCTACTTTGCTGACCGCTGGTCTAAAGCATTAGATTCGTATTTATATTAAGTCAAACTGAATTTAACGTTTTAGATTCATTCCATTTTTCTTCATGTGTTTCTACAGATTTCTCTGGAAGTCATTTTAATCTCAGATTTTCCCTTCATTATATAAAATATATTTGTTTTTGATTTTCCAGCCGCCAGAATCTGTTTTCCCTCCATTATCTAATATTATATCTCGTTTAAGACTTTTAAAGGAAATATAGATATGCTTTAGCTACAGAACGTTTTTGTTGCTAAAATAAATATTGAAGCTTCAAAATATAAGGTAACGTAGTTTTAAACGTAATTAAATTATTAGTTTTACATGCAGGAATAAGAAAGCCACAGAAAATATTAAGGAGATATATGCTTACTTATCTTGGTGGTAATTTCCTGTTCTTCGATGGCTGAAGAAATGAACACGATGAAGAACATCACAGCAAATATGCATAGTCTTCGCAGCATCTTCTAAAGGCAAAAGGAAAATAATCATTCAGTACTGCAGGAGAGCAAGCTGACTAACTTAGATATGTGTTAAGTTTATTTCTAAAAGGTGTAGATAATAATTTCTTACAATTAAATCAAAGTATCACTAGTATCCGAATTGTTAAGGGAGAAAACTGGGAGTTCAAAATTGATTCGAATCTCAATTAGAAGGGTTGACTGAATAGTTATTGTCGTAGTTTTCCCGAACGTAATGTGAATCGAAGTTATTATAGACTCCACTTAATTTTTAAAACTGAAATCGCAAAATACACTCTAGTTGCCAAGTGGCACAGTGAGCTCATAAACAAACATTTCCATTTTCCTAATTAAAATGCTGTGAAAATACTATATATATATATATATATATATATATATGGTTTTGAAATTTTATATTAAATTATTTAAATTCCATTGTCGTTTTGAAGGATACTTTCGCCATTGTTTAATGTTATCAAAATAGGCCGTAAACAAATGTAATCTTATTACCTGGCGCCTACAGTAGTTTATTTTAAAAGGCTTTGCACGATAGCCTCCTTTCCCTTAGAATAGCCCGAGTGTGTTTTTCAATAAACGATAATTTGAAAATCACTTTTTTTTACTATTGTATTTTCTTTTATTACCTTTTTTAAAGGACTGAGAGCAAATGCTGTTGTTATTAAGTGTTCACTATCATGTTTTGTAGAAAGAGATTTTTAAATCATAGAATATAGAACTAAAGAAAACATTTATAATGAAGTAAATAAAATTGTATACAATATAAAACCAAAAACTAATAATAATTATATTAAAAAAATAATTTTTGAATATGTGATAATTTAGTTAAATACTAACTGAAATGAGAAATAATGTAAAAATAAAAAATAAAATTCAACAACTAAAATTAAAAAATTGAATAAATATAAGTAAAAAATAAATTAAAAAGGATAAAACACAAATAGAAATTAAAAAAAAAAAATTCTGAAAGCTTTCATATTTTACATTAATCCCAAAGGGACTTTTTTTCTAACCTTTTGTGTGTTACCTTTATTTATTAAATATCATATTCTTCGCACTTAAACCATAAAATTCAATTCAAAAGAAATATTGCAAAATAATTTTAAAGTGAGTATATCTTTAGAATTTCCGATACGCAGTCTCATGCGCTGGAGACAAAAATGTTTTTTCCCCCCGCAGAGTATTGCCGTTGCTCGTTTTGAAATCGTTGACTTTTTTAATCAAAAATTCGTTGGTTACAAAATATGAAATCGATAATAAAACAAATTTCAAATTCTAAATTAGGGCTTCAAGATGCCCATATTCGGTAGAAGATTACGTTATTCAAATTTTGATGGCTCTAGGTACCGTTGTTTTATTACAATGCGAGAAACATACATACATTTGTGCAGATTCTGCATTATTTAATTTATTAAACTATAACACAGTGTGATAATATTTGGTGGCAACAATTTGAAAAGTGAACCGACATTTCAACGCAAAATGCCAACACGGAATTAAAAAGCCCTTCTGGGCTAACTCCCTTTGGGCTAAAAATGAGCATCAACCCAAACATACATAAAATAACATTCCTGATTCATTAAACGATAGAGAACTATCAGTGATGTTTTAAAACTCAATATAATCTGCTCTTTGTTGTTATTTTAATTAAAATCAAGCCAATGAAAGCTGAATTCTGTCAATTAAGTATCTTAAAGCCTACAGGAAAAATGAGATTTATCTCTTATGTAATCATTACATTCAAATTACGTAATATAAAATTAAGCAGGCCATAACATTTTTCTCTTAAAAATTCAGGCTGTTTGTATTTACTTTGAACAAAGCTTGCATGGTTATCAGAAAAATGTTTCAAAATCAAGTATATTAATTCTTATCAAACTTGTAAATATCCATGCAGGTTGATCTACAGTTTGTATAAGATTTACGTATTCAGTAAAATTGGGGGCAAGAAGTAAATTGAATTTTCAAATACTCCTCCACAGTAAGAATGAATTTGGTTGAAGGGAAAAAAATTATCTCCGAGCAAATTACCTGAATTATTTCAAAAATATATCAGTGTAAATATTCTGTCAAATAAATACTCGAAAGGGGAAATACAAATATTGAAACAAAAGTGTCAAGTATTAAAAAATATTTAAGAAAAATAATCAGTTTTTTTAGAAGTAGTTATACGATCAGATTAAAAAATAAATAATTACTACTTGTTATTTACGCTTTTTGTTTTCTTTTGTTTTTCAAATTTCAGATACGCGAATTTTTTTGTCAACTACATTTAAGATTATTTAAATATTTCCTAGGCTCTATATATGAATCCAATTTTGTCGCACGATAGTAGTAATAAGTAACAAATAAATATCATTGCAAAAATTACCTCTATAAAGGGAGCAAATAGTGCTCTACACGAAATTTGTAAAAGATAGTCTCTTCTAACAGACGAGTTGATCTGCAACTGATCCTATATTTATATACAAAAGAAAAGAAATGAAATGAGGTGACAACTAGAGATAATTTAGACAGCCAAGATAATCCCTATCAATCTTTTGAAAATCTCTAAGTCAACAGCCATTTCTTTCGAATTGGAATCACGGAAATGCTACTGATTGAAAGAGACTGGCTTGAAAATATGCATGCTTTCAAGGAGAGACCAGAAAATTCGAAAATGAGTTAGTTTAATATAGTTCTTAGATTGTACTTTCTAAAAAATCGTTAACATTTCTAGCAGCAACTTTTTTTTATTTATTCTGCAGTTCTCTGTTCTTTAAATGCGTTCTGGTTAGAGTTTTCGAAACGTTTTTGAATTTCACTGTTTTAATTCAGATCATGATCATCCATCAAATCCAAATTTGAAATTAATGTTTCTCAATGTAGCATCTTTTGGTTTATTTAATCATGGCAAAGCACTCGAGTGTTATCTGCTTAAGGAGAGGGATGCCTTTGTGGAGGACCTTTCTAAGAGAAACTAGCTCATATACAGGTTACACATAGCGGAAAAAACATAAAAACGCTATGCAGCCAACCAGTTCGCTGAAATTTGAATCCCGGACCTAACTACCAGTGTTCAACGGCTTTACCGCTCGGCCGCTGGTGGGCGCAATGTAACATAAGAAAGTAATAATGAAAAATTGAACTGAATTATATAGTGATTGCGTTGTACACTATTACTGCCTGCCTAAAGGAATGGACGCCTTCTTCAGTTCTTTTTGAAAGAAATTGCCCGGCTTTTACGTTATACAGAGAATAAAAGCTTTCAGCTACCCCCTTCAGCCACTGGGGAAAAAAATCTCGTGCAAAATATCAGTATTTTACTACGTTAGTCATTCGGCTACTGTCTCAAGGAAACAAGCCAGAAATTTACATTTATTTCTGCATTTAACGCTTTGTCAAATAAGGTTATCTTTTATTAAATTAGATAAGCATTAGCATATTTGTTTACTTTGTTAAATATAAATAAATTCATGTAAGAAGAACAGTATTTTTAGGGTTAAATATCCATCAAAAAATTCAAGATGCGTTTCGACAGAGTACTATATTTACCGTTGTTTACATGCCTACTGAAGCACACACTGCTGAGCAAGAATTTCACATTGTGATTGACTTAACGTCGGTGAGTTTCATGATATGAATGAAAAACGCATTTATATATTATGATCTTTTTCCCTTTTGCACTATTTTTATTTTTTGAATCATCTTCATCTTATAAACAGAGCTCATATGTAAGTAGGTTCGAATGCCTCCGGCTCGATATACTTCTAAAAGAAACGGAAAAAAAAAAAAAAAAAAAAAAGTAGTAGCTTATTTTTCAATATGATCTCGTTGTACCTCGAAACAGTTTCCAGATTATTTAGTCAGCAGATTATCTGAACGTTTGGTCTCAAAATTTTCCGAAATGACTCTTTTCAGACCATTATCCTTACACATAGGGCCAGCAGTCTGGAGTACAGATATGAATCGTTTGGAGCTAAAAAAAAGAGTTTTTTTAAAGAGTTTTTCAGTTCTTTAAACCCAACAACTTTTCATAACAATCGACAAGCTGCTGTTTTAGAATGGATGAAAGAAGTCAAGGTTCTTAAATTGAAGACAATTTGTTCATGGGAAGATATTCATGTAAAATGCTCAAAATAGTTTTTTCTTGATAGATCCAGCCTTGATCCTATCTCCTTGACTTAATCCTATCTCCTAATCTCCCGACACTTAACACTATTTCCTCCTGGACGCGGAAAAAATCTTCTGATGCCAGTGCCTCCAATATAACCTACATAAGAAACTTTTTTTTTTTTTTTACTGATTCTTGACCCATGCGAAATTGTTTTACTTATTGTTTCTCTGTAGAATAGGAGGGATACAAATCAACATATGTATGATCCAAGCATTCTTTTATTTCTATATAATTAAGATCTTTTTTAGTCAAAATACTAGTCATAAAACGATGCTCAATTTGAAGTACTTCAGAACAAATTTGTGCATTATTTCATTCACTTCATTGTCAAAAACAAGTGCATGAGATTTCTCCAACAAAACTTTCAAATTTATTCTTTTTGTACTGCCCCTACAACTATGCCTCCGGAATTTGCTTCCAAATAGTTTTTATATGTGAAGCCGAAAACTTTTAGTTCTACCTACACATATCTGGATCATAAACAGCTGAATATTTCTACACTATGTTGCCAATGATGGTTGGAAGTGAATGGGAAAATGTTTATTTGAAGCTTAATGTTTGTACAATGAAAATGCTCGTTCGTTATATCATAACTTCTACATTTTCAGGAAGATTTTCTATTAAGTTTTTGTAAAGAACTGCAGGTGTTTCGTACTATTCCTTTTGCAGCAGAGTGAGCAATTCTGTAGAGGTTTTAGACATTTAGTCGGGCAAGTGACCGAAAACTCGATATTGATTTCTAAAACCCAGCCATAAAATCTTATGGCATTAAAACTTTTTAACGATATTTTTATTTATAAATAAAACAAATAGCCCATTTTCGAGCTCTTAATTGTAATATATAAATCAAATTTTTTTCAAAATGTGTAGTTAACACAAAACATAACTTATTTGGAAAAAAATAATTTTCATGGTCTTCATTATTAAAATAATGATATAAATTAAATTTTTAAGTAATAAAAATTATACAAATTTCTGAAAAACGTTTTAGGCCACATATGCAAACAGACGATTATACAGGAAACCAAACGCGCAAAAGGTGTTTTCTAAGGTGGGATGAAACTGCTATATTATCAACTCGGATAAAATAAATGCTATAAAGAAAGTTAATTTCAATGAAAATTTGTGTAATAAATGAAACAAAAAATTTCTTATTGAATTTATGGAGCTGCTTTCAAGTGAGCTTCATTACATGCTAATGAAGAAGGGAGAGAATTTAATTTCCCTTTTGGAAAACACGATAGTATTTATTAAGAAAAATCTATACATTTATTTCAAAAAAGGGCCCACCAGACACCTAGAGGTAAAGTAGCTGAACATTGGTAGTTCGGTGCTAGGTTCGAATCCCGCGAACGGGCTGGATGAAAGGGCGTTTTCATGGATTTCCTTTAATGTGTAACGTGTATACGAGTCAGTTTCCCTTAGAAAGCCCGCCACGAAGGCATCCCGCCCTTTAAGAAGACAGTCCTCGAGGCTTTGCTTTAAATAATACATCAATCAATCAATCATTATTTAAAGAAAACCCTCTAATCTAACAGAATTTTATTATAAGTATTGACTTATAGAGTATATTTTCCAATTTTAGACTTGGGAGAAGAAAATCATCCAAAAAATTTTGAGACTGACTAATTAGAGTTACTTAAAAAATATCCTATTCATAAAAATCTAATTTAAATAATTTTATTCTAAATGTCTATTTTCTTTGAACTTTCAAACCGGCTCATTTTTGCAGTTTTCATCCGCCTTTATCAATAATAGGTAAACTGCATATTTTGTTTTATTTAACAATTACAGAAGGCATTGTTATAAATCATCTTGACTTTTCTATTTTTTTTTTTATTTCTTTACAAATTTTCAAAGCTTGTTGTCAATCGAACAAAGTAGGACAGAAACTTAAACTTTCGAAACGTGTCCTAAAATATTTCGGCGCCAGACAGTGTCTCAGCTGACAGTCCAATGCAGTGCAGGTCCAAGTGCAAGTTTTTCGGAACACGCAGTTCAGCGGACACTGTTGGATATGGGACTGCGCAGCAGACATCAGAGTCGCGTGTCTCTATTGACCAAATGTCATTGTTTTCAGTGGACCCGGGAACATTGAGACTGGACTGTGGATAAGTAGAAAACAGTTGCCTGGTCGGATGAATCATGATTTTTCATTCATCGCGTCGATGGTTGTGTCAGAGTACGCCGTACTTCAGGCGAACCCCCTATACAGCAGGTCATACAAGGGCTGGTGATGGCAGTATTATGCTTTGGGGCGTTCCCATGGGCGGCTCTAAGACCTTCAGTTGTGCTAGCTTCAATTGGACCATGAAAGCTTAAGATAATTGCTGATCAGGGACACCTTTACATGGCATCTAGCTTTTCAAATGGAAATGGAATCTTCCAGCAGGACAACATCCCATGTTACAAGGCTTGAATTATGTTGGAGTGGTTCGAGGAGCATAAGTATGAATTCCAATTAATGTCATGGCCACTAAACTCGCCGGATCTTAACCCGAAACTGAAGGTTATGGATGCCAACTGGGATGCCATTGAAAGGCAGCACAAAGCTCAAACACCACCATGTTGGAATATCTCGACTTTGTGCGACTGCTGCTTAAACATTTGGCACAACCTGTCTCTAGTCATCTGCCAAGAATTTGTAGCATTCATGCAAGGGCAGCTGTATTGCAGACCAAAAGTTCGCTAAACGTATTATTGAGTAAGTGGTCATAATATTTTGGCTCTTCATTGTATACCACCGTATCATGTAGGGGAAGTGGGATGATTTCTTATACGTTATACTCACTTTTATACTGAATGAATAATAGTTTTATGTGATTAAACCGAAAGAAGACAATGAAGATTTAAATGCAACATCCAAAGAAACGCAAGTTATAGCACTCAAGGAAGAAATAACAAACCCCTACTTAATAGCATATTTCCATTGCCAGCTATATTTTTCCGCTCTTCTTCAGTTTCAGTAGCCTAAAACTATGAGAAGAAATGCTTAACTGTGTAGATAAAATGTTATCATTTACAACCGGCTTTTCATATCAAATCTTTATTTGCATTTCCTACATTCTGTACATTCCTAGTCAAATCAACTTCAAAATCGTGCCACACCTTTTTCAGTAATCAAAGTGAAAGAAGGAAAGACATTTTATGCGCTTAATCTAAGGTTTTCACCTTTCACATCTTCGGATAATAATGACAGATGGTTCCGGCAGTCTGTCAGCTGAAATCGTCTGTCTCAAGCAGAGATTAAAAACGATTTCCATGCTTCATGGACTTTCTGACAGATGAAAAAAAAAAAAAGGAACAACGTATTGATGATACCATTTACAGCCAAAAATTATGTAAAGGCATGCCACTACATATTTCTTTTCTTTCTTATTTTTGTATAGTATATATACACTACATTAATATAAAATTATTATTTTTATAAATAACTGTTAAGCAGTAACAGAATTAAGATCAGCTAGTGCTAAATATTGAGCAAGCACTCACACAAACCTATTAAGAAATATCAGAATTCTCGATTATTTGGAGTAGATTATCTGGGTCCTGTGAAAGTTGTTTCCGAAGCGATGGAAAATTACTGTCACAAAAATTTACCGTGAAATAAAACTGTCTACGGAAAATATGGAAAGTAGAAGCAAAATACGTGGGATAACAACAATGATAGCAAATGATGATATCGTAACTGCGAGTTGTTTTTTATTAACATTCCAATAATGTTACGTCGATCTCCAAATTCTATAGTAAATCTACAAATCTGAAGAGGTTGAAGCATATAATTCTAATAGATTAACGGTAAATCAGTTTCCATCAATGGTCCATTGAGTTTTAAAACGAATTTAATTAGAAATATCACAAACAAATAATCCAATCTAGAGAAATTAATCTTTAACGTGCAAGCTACACTGAAAACACAAATCAAAAGAATGTTTTTTGTTTCTGCTTATCCTTTATCTAAATCGAACAGGCTATTCATTACGTTGCCCTTCAGTGGTAGTGAAAAGAGACAATTTAGATTGGAACATCCACAATAGTGGATAATTGAATAGCATGTAATTTAAACATTGTTAAATCATACGTTAAACGTCTAAAAATAAATTAAGTGTGCAGCCATTAATCTTCTGCTTCACCTTAACTTATATAAAAATATAGAAATAATGCAAACAAAAACAAACAGCAGTTGCACTTTGAAGCGAGGAAGAAATACAGAGAGTCACAGGAAGCAGCAGAGAGAAAAAGATTAATACTGTGTTCTCTCTCTCTCTTTCTAGAAACCTTTGACTAACAAATGAATTATTCAGATTAAACTGCTTGAATATACATTTAAGAAGTTGATAACATTTATTAATTGCGCAAACAAGAAAATTTAGAAATTTTTGGTTTGTTCGATAAACTAAGATGTGGAGAACAAAATGTTTCAGAGTTAATTTTAAAAAATCTAAATCGAATTTTGAAAAAAAATCGCTCTACCACTTTGTATTATCATCCACAAAAACATGAGTACAAAATTTCAGCTAGGTAGCTTATCAGAAAGAAAACTAGTTTAAAAACATATGGCAAACTTTCGACCATAGAGGCAAACACCACGAATGAGCTAAATGGAAGCTTATGGAATTACATTTGTCGCGAATATTTTTGGGAATATACATTTCACTAATGTCTGAAATTTTGCATAGCGTTAAAAAATGTGAAACTTGTTTAATATGAATGGTGTTTCAAACAATTTAAATTTTCGATGACATGACTTTATGATAGAATACGTTTCACCAGATAACTGGTTTCCTTGTAATTTTAATTTAAATTCGTCAAGATATCCTAGACATCTACATAAAAAATTAAAGCCATTCACTGTTCGACAATAGCGGTTGTGCACAATTTTCCTTATTTATAAAATTTCTGTTACTTATCTGAGTTAAAAAATTCTTAATAAAGTTTTTCCATTGCTGAGCCATCGAACTAATATATGGTTTGGCAAGTAAGGATATTTTGCGTCGATCTCTAAAAAAAAAAATTAGAAAACTGATGATGGTTAACTCCATGAGAACGAATAAACTTAATGGCTGACACAGCTCGTTTAATACCACATGACATATTAAGGTTTTTCTACAAGAATGCTGGGAATAATACGATGAATTTCCAAAAGTTTTGAACAAATTCCCTTTCCTCGTTTCCCACCTATTTTTACCACCATCAATTGTGATTGCATTTTAACTAGTTGCATTGCAAATTGTACTATGCTACCGTTTTCATGACTACCTTGAAAATATCTTCGACTACAGCTATGCATGTCCATGCAGGCTAAACATAGAAGCTAATTATTCATTTACCCAAAACTATATTTTGAAAGCAGCAATTAGGAAGTATCAGTAGTGTTTATCTACTCATAAATAACCAATGAAAACCATTTGAAATTTGTTGCCTTGACTTTTATTTGATTTTTGACGTCGCTTCTGATGTTCTCAACTCTTCTAACAGTTGTTCTCGTAGAAAGACTGATAGATTTAAATAAATTAATTTTTTCAGGAAACATTTCTGCAGCTGAAACAAGCAAACATGACTTAATTAATTTACCTTTGATAAATAGTTTCCCTTTAGTGGTTAATGAATGAGTTATTTGCAAGCTGACTGAAGTTATTGCTTCGTTAGCATTTTTTGTTTTCATGAATAAATTGTGCTATGATGAAGCGTTTACTTTTAAATTTTCCAGTTTCAATTGTTCGCTCACTTTTTGTGAGTTTTAAATATTGTGTCGTAGGTTTACTTTAGTAATGATGGCGTATGTTGTATTATTTTGGCACAGCTATTACGTCATTACATAATAAACATAATGCTTTTTCATTTAATTGTTTTACAATATAATAACACTCCATTCTGCTTTAAAAACACGACAAAGTCCACTTCCCTTATCTTATTTGGTCTTGAGAGTGACATGGCAACGGTGATTAATAAATAAAATAAATTGGGAAGAACAAAATATCGCAAAGTGTCGTGAAGACTGTACCACATGCGTCGCTATGTCAAAATTGAGAGAACTAACAGCACACGTTTTACCGGCAGACAACAGAATGTGAATACGCGATGCCAATAGCGCCATGTGCTATCATTATTCACATCTTCTCAACTAGATTAGCGGCCACTGTGTTACAGCGCGGTATTTGATTTTTTAAGAATATTTTATGCGAGAACAATAACAATGTGCCAGATTTGGCCACGGGCCGTAATTTGAAGACCCCAGATTAAATCGTTTTCCTCAGCCATTTTCGAACATGATTACAAGCTACGCATATAACAAATTGAAAAAATGTTTATTACAGTAATTTATCCAGTTTCATAATTTTCGTTTCCAGCCAGTGAGAACTGGCTGTGGAACTTAGGTGGATGATTCTCCTTTGTCTTTAAAGTCGTTTTCATAGTTATAGGCATGACCAACATTCGTGTTTTGCTTCCACTTTAGCCTACAACGCTCACTTATTTTCCATTCAAAAATGGATAATTTATGACAGTGCTAGAAAGCATTTCACGAAGTTTTCTGAAAACTTCACATGAACCTAATATGTGTATTACAATAAACCAATGGAATGATTTTGCAAATGGAAAACTTAAAAGACTGAATATACAGGTCATACTTTGTAAGATTTCCTTTAGTTTGAATAACCAATTATTTTAATTTTGGTATCTTTTCTGAACTTCTTATTTCCTCTCGCATTTCCTCGCCAGGATGCAAATTAAGTTAAAAGAGTGTTTAAACAGGCGAAACGAGAAGGTTAGACCGAGCGTGAGTTTGCTATTTTTTCCTCCAGCTGTTAATATGTAAGTTGCGGCTACGTATTCTGGTCGTTTATTAAGTCTATCGCCGATGCAGGTTGTTGAGTCAGCCTGTTAATTTCAAGTAAATTGTGTAGTCTAGAGTTAGTCTTTTTACCATTCTGAATGTATTGTTAAATTATCCTTAAGTTCCTCACCGCAAGTAATCGATTCTATTGTGAGCACGAAGTACGTGCCTTTTTGTTAAAGAGTTTGAGAATAAAAGGCCTATTTACAACATTCTTCTGTGCTGTTAAAATTATTCCTGTCTATGTGAGAAGTCGCCAGGCTTCTTAGTAAGTTCTTGACACGGGAATGAGAGCGAAATGAGTCCGATCTTACAGCTTTACCCGTGTATTAGCTTGAAGTCTAATATACATTAATTAAGGTTGAAAGTACGTTTATAAAGATTTATATTTTACATTTATCCTGCATTAACACCACATGTCAGGAATCATCACATAGACATAATCAACAATTTATTTAACATGAAATAAGTGTTTATAAACTATTCTCAAAACTATTACATCGTAGACGTATGTATTGTAATAGTTATTTAAACTTACAACATAATCAAAAGAGGGTAGATTTTAGCCCCAGCTGTTAAATCCCATGTATAATCTGATACATATGGGAAAACAACCATATGTTTTCTCTCAGCACGTATTCTTCTTATTTGCATCATTGCAGAATTTCCCGTTGTGCGAGAGGCGATAGTAAATTCAGAATGAGGGCAGCTAGATATTGTTATATAATCTTCGCTTTCTGTCTAATTCTGAAAGAATGCTCTGCAGGTAAGTTTATAACTAATGCTAAATTAATATCGAAATTTATTACTACTTGTAAAAATTTATTACTACTTGTAAAATGTAATTAAGTTTGCAAGATTTCACCAAAGTTCAGATAAAGTGCACGGAGACATGCTTTTCGTTGAGGTTTGTTAGCAAATAAATAAAATAAAATAAAATTTAGAAGTACCAATATTGTAGCAGTTGGAGTTTGGAAAATGCTAGTTAATTTTCAGTTTTCTTTTAGTAATTTAATTAAATCTAAACTTTATTTCTAAAGGGAAATTTACAATTATATTTGAGTGACTTGCTGAAAAAGTGGAACTAAAACTTGAAGTTAAACTTTTAAATTTTGCTGCGTCTTAAAACAGCTTTATCCTCTTCAGTCCCGATAAATATGAAACAAAGGTTCAGTAATTTATCTAAAAATATAAGCAGCCAGGCAGCGGCTGAGCGGTAAAACCTCTGAATACTGGTAGTTCGATCTGGAATCGATTTCAAGACGAACTGGTTAGCTGCATGGGCGTTTTTGTTGTTTTTCCCTGGTATAACGTAGATGCAAGCTAGTTTGCTTTAGAAATTTCTTCACGAAGGCATTCCTACCCTTAGGCAGATAGCACATTTTATCTTAATCAAATCAAATAAACGAAATCTTCTATGCGAGAAATCGGGATGCACTAATAGATAATACATTCAACTAGAAAATGAAAGACCAGTAGTTCGATTCGGGGCGAAAGTGTAGAAGAGCTTAATAATCTGTACAGTCAAAATATTCCATGAAAATCAATTTTAATTAGCCTTTGCCAACTATCAGTTGTCAATACTCTATTTATTACCTCTACAGAAGGTTGGATCGAAGCAGATAATAAATTTTTCTGCTCACTGATATTTACTCGAGACAAAGATGTAGAAACTGTTACATTACTAAAAGGTTTATTATTAGCAAACATATATTTGATTAGCAGCTTGATATTTTAGAATCGTTCTGCAAGGCGGCAAGTATTGAAAGCAGCGTAAAAGGTAAAATGCAGACTGCAAAGTCCTTAAGGATTATATATGGAACTAATAGAATTTTAGTCTGTTTGCTGTTTTGGTTTTTCTAATAGAGAGAAAGTGAGCACAGTACATTTTAGTTTATTTTATTTAATACTTCATTGCATAATGTGTTGCAATACACAGAATGATAAAGGATTTTTTACATAACGTTGCTAATGTCTTACTTTTATAATTTATGAGTTAGGCTTATCCATAATTATATATACAGTATATGAATATCCTGCCTTTACGGAATGTTTGGTACCATTTATACTTTTAATGCATCCGAATCAAATCTTAAGGTACCTTCGCGGACGAAAGCAGTACTACACACAGGGCACGAAAAAAAGAGACAGTTCTTTTATCTCCTAACCGTTGACGAAATTTAACTTGCTTTTTCATGACTGAGAAACGTGACTTAGTATATATATCAGATTTACATATCGCAATGTTCTAAAATAGGTATTTTGCTGCAAAATTGGATTTTTCTGAAATGACATACCGAGTTTTGTCCATATTTTGATTCTACAACTCAAATTATGCCTAAATTTTAATTTTGTAAAATTTAGTGAGAAAGATATCGAGAAATTTTAAACTTTATCTTAGCATACTTTTTTCAACGTGCGCCAAGAATAATTCACTTGGCAAAATTCTTAATTTATGGTAACCTATTTTCCTTTCTCTTTTTTCATTGTGTATGAGCTGAAAAAAGGTGCACCATACGTTCTTTCAAATGAATTTAACAAAGTGTGTAAAGCACGTTTGGCGTTGTTATCACTTTTCGCGCTGATACATAAGTTTACGTATATCTTTTGAAATTAAAAAAATAACTTTAATATAATATAGGTTAGCAATACATATACTTTAAGGTGATATAGTACACATTTCATAGGTTATAATTTTTAAAAAATTTCGAAAAATTCACAAAAAATTTTTAATAAAAAAATACGAATTTAAAAAATAAATCATAAAATATCCGTATTTGGATTGAACAAATTTTATTTGGATTGAACTTAAATTTCGAATTTTGAAAGAGGGAATCAAGGAAGTTTAATACAAAAAGAAATGTTAATAAATATATACCAAATACCAAATTAATTTATCATTAAGCAGCTAAAATTTTGAAAGTGAACTTTTTAAAAACTACTCGTTGAGTTGTAGGATCGAAATAGGTAAAGAACTTGACAGTGGCATTTCAGAAAAAGTTCGATTTGTTGCATTTTTTGGAATTTTCATACTTTCTGCACAATGCTTATTTATGAATTAAAATTTTTATAAGCTGTTATTTTTGCCTTTATTTAGATAGTAGTGAAGAAGAACCTTTCCAGTGTCACGAACTTTATATTTACAACGTAACTCAAAATGGCGTAGTGGATGTATACAGCCCTTTCTATAAAGAGGGTGGATATACAAATGATCTGTGGTGTGAATATGAAATCAGAGCTCCTCCTGGAAATGTAAGTTATACCCCCATACATCATAATCAAAATTTATATGATAAAACAAAATGACTCTGTTATGAAAAACGTATAAGCAAACTATCAAAATGGTAATTATGAAGAAACTGAATTAATGCCTATAGCTAAAGCTGACGTGTGTAACAGTATATTTCAGTTTCGCAATATAAGTTGTAGCATTAAAAGAATAAAAGGCATGATTTAGCCATTTTAACCTGAAAAACGTAATACAACGCATGTGAAATCGCAATGTAATCTGATGGGGTATCTAAGATCACACATGACTTTTTTAAATTGGTTAAAAAACGAATGAAAATTTTTCTACATTTGTGATGTTGTTGTAGTATCCAGGTCAAGTGCTAAAGAGAGAGAGAGAGAGTGGGGGAAGAAAAAAAAGAAACATAGGAAGTAGTAGGGACAGGAAGTCATAGGCATAGTGTCAAAGGCATGAAGCACTGCCCTGGCCACGTCTTTGACTCTGTCCGTGAAAGGAGTCTCTGGTCCAGTCACTGTCAATTTGGAAGAGGGTCGCTGGGACGGCTGTACAGGCCAGGCTTGATAAGATTTGTAATGACAAAGACATACATGTTTATTACCATTTTTTTCATCTATATGCTTCAATCTTAATTATGTGTTTAAATGTAAAAACTCTCAATAAAGAGATAGTGCAGTTGGGCAATACCCACATTACCAACGGTTAAACAATGGGTGTACACTGCACTACAACCTGAACCTGTAAAAACTTTCAAATTAAATAAAAGATGCCAAACATAACTAAATTGGAAGCGGAAATTAGCTCTGAGTAACAAATGTTTCTCCTCACTGGTTACACAGATCCAAATACGTGAATCATACAACAATTCTCATAACAGCTCAAATGCATTATCGGAATTTTCTTACTGAGTATAATGATTTCTTGTTAAATTTCATATAAACCTGTGTACGTTCGGAGTAAAGAAAAGTTAAAAAACATTGAAGTATAAAACTCTTTGCTACATACTGCCTGCGTAACATTTCTTCTAAGCCCTGAGAAATATTAATAAGAATACTAGAACTCTAATGATACCATTTCTTAACAGCAGAAGAATCCTGAAGAGACATTAGCCATACTTCATCGCTTATTTACCACTGCTCTTAAAGCTGGTAATAATGTAATTTCGGCGGATATGCAGAATAGCTAATATATTTCATAAATAGCTTCATATGACTTCTACTGGTTCTTAGAATTCTATATCTTACGAAAGTGCAGAAAATTTCTGCAAATTTATGTTAAGCGTTTGATTTTTAAGCCTGTGAATCCTATCTACATTGTATCGAACGGCGAGCACTATCTTGTCTTTTTTCGACATTGGCCACTCCTAAGGCCGAAGGTGGTGGCCACTTTATTGTGAAGGCACCTAACAGGCGGCCACCATTACCTTCTACGAAGGGACGGACAGTAACAACCTTGCTTTCTCCGGGATTTGAATCTGGACTCTTCGGTATCGTAGTCGGCTCCTCTTCACCATCTGGGCTGCGGTCTACATTATGTACTAAATAACATTTTTAGCAATTGTGTAGCGGAGGTTGGTGTATTTTCTCAAATTTCAGGAAATCGTAATTTTTAATATTAAACTTCTAATGATGATATTAAACGTTTTGCTATTAATGATGCTAACTTTTGTCTAGCATTATGAGACCAATAATTTTTTTTTTTTTTTTTTTTTTTTTTTTTTTCCCAGAGTACAGTTCGCAAAGAAAACACAACTATTTTTTGCAGACTAGTTTAAGCATAAAAGAAATCGCAACCATTTTTAAATGAACGAAAATTTTGGATATAAATGTTTCAAACAAAATTTGAAAAATGTTTAGGGATTTTCCCTGATAGAGTGAGATGCTAGAAATTCGTCTCATTATGTAAAATTTCTGCTTGATTTTTAATTAAACATAACTGGAAATCAGGAACGAGAAATAAAATAGCAGTGTTTTTAGCAAAAATAGCAGTGTTTTTATAAAAATAGAGTGTTTTTAGTAATTTTAATTTAAATACTATGTTGTTGTTATGACTTATCTCACTTGTCTGACAGTAACATCAGAACAAGCTTACGAAATGCATCGTGACAAGGGAGTGCACGACTGTGCCTGACGTTGGCAAGAGCCTTGAGCACCATACAGGTGACAGTACGACTTTGTTCATTTCCGCTCCCAATTTTGATGCACATGAGAGACCCTTCTTTCCCTACCACCAACCTCCCGAGAGGACTTTCGTCTCGCCGCATATTTAGAGTGCCCTCATGCCACGCAAACACTATACATAAACAAACATTTCATGCCTCCTCCGGGATTCGAACCAGGGCCCTTCGGTACAGCAGTAAGCATTGCTAATCATTATCCAGGTTGGGCGGCAAATTTAAATATTCTAGCACATTCTTAAAAAGCACACATTACACTCTGCGTAAGGATGTTAACGAATGATGTCACCTAAAAACGTGAAATAGCTAAAACCTAAATACATATCTGTAATCACTATCTATGATTACACAAAAAGAAACTTTATTTGTTCTGCGACTGTACATTTGATAAGCAATATGATATGTATATAAAAAATATTCCTTTGGTTGAAGAGTTGTTTTGTTTGTTTATTGCCCATTCTATTGCGACGACGAGTTTTGGTTTTAGATATAACTCCAGCAAGTCTCTAACTTAAGCATTAATATACAGGTGCTAATAGTAATGCTAGGATATATAAAGGATATGCTTGCTTAAAAAAATAATAGTGATGCTACAAAGATAAACAATAAGGCTTAACAGTAACACTACAAGGAAAAAATAATGCTAATGACATTAGGATATTTTTGAAGCAAAAGATGTGAAAAATGAGAACTGCCCTCGTGGTACTCGAACCTCTCGAATACGCGCCGAGTGTGCTAACCATTACACCACGAAGGAGAGTGAAAATACCTTATAATGCTTAGTAGTAATGCTACAATGAAACAAGGATGCTTAAAAATAATGCTAGAAGGAAAATACAAAGGAGTTAATAGTAACGCTACATGATATAAAGGATATTTTTACTTGTAATTTTTCTTATTGTATAAGAAGAAAACTTAAGAAGTGATTGATGGTAATATTTCAGCACTTTCATAATAATTTAATTTTTTATGCATTAATTCCAATGAGAAAAATTTAAAGAATATTTTTATGTTACTGCTTAGTAACTGAAACATTCTTTACTCCTTTATATCATATTTAATTTACTGTGATCTTCACAGCAATTAAAGATAATATTCAAAGAACTGGACATCGATCCTTCAGACTTCTGCGGACAGGATAGTTTAGTTATTTACTCTGGTGCGAAGGAACATGTGATAGCAACCGTATGTGGAACGAATAAGCCAGAGCCAATAATAACAGATCCTGGAGTGAATATTGTTCATCTACTTTTCCGATCGGATCACATGTCCGTCGCCAGAGGCGTCCATTTACAATTTCAAGCTGGACCACATTTCGGTAAGAGATTCAAAATTCCTTGGTATTTTCTTCGTTACTTTGATATTTTTTGTTGCTGTTGGTATGGCCTTCTATGAGGCATCAGAAAGTCTTTTCTCAGATAAGGACAAGCGGTTCAAGGATAATATACAGGGAACACTAGCAGGATTGAATTCTAGCATCAAGGGATGGTTACAATGAAAAAGTAGTCCACTCGTAGATCGCTTCAGATGTTCTTCGTATCTTAATTTTCCAGTTAAATAATAGTTCGAAACTCACTCTGGATGTCCCGCCTTAAATGCATTAATATTTTCTGAGACAACACGATTTGCAATGTTTATCACCTTTTTAACATACAGTAGACGTTGCTTAATTTTGATTACGTTTGACCACGGTTATTTTGATAAATTAATCAAACGATAACATTAAAACAGGATAAAAAAAGTCTTCAAAATAGCGATAGAATTTAACTAGTTTAATAAATAAAAAAAATCAAGAAACACAAAAATCGGTACGTGCACACCATTCTAATTAGGAAGAGGCGAAAGCTTATTTACGAACTTTTCTTAATAGTTTTACAGAAGGTCATTTATGAACTGTTTATGATATTTATGGAAATTTTTTGACTGATGCAATATTTCTAATCTTAATATTCGGAAGGCATCCCTCACTCGAAGAGAACAACATGTCGATGCAAAATTTTAAATTAATTAAAATATAGTCTTAGTTTCTCGTAGATATTTCCAGATAATTACGTTTTTTGATGCTGAAGAAGAAAGTCTTGTATCTCATTGCCCTCAAAATTGACGGAGTTATTCAGAATCTGCGTTAAATTAAGGTTGCTTTTTTGTTTAACTTTAAATGGTTGCCTGAAATTGAAACAGCCGTTTCGCAATTTACCCTAACTTGGGACATTTTTTCTGGCAATTGCCAATTTTTATAATCTATTTTGGCCTTACTTGGCGAATTTATCTTTTATTTAGCGAATTAATTAAAAAACTTATACTTTTTTGATTTCGATCATAAACTATCAAGAACCTGATATTCAGCAACTAATAAATGAAAGCTTTATGTGAAGAAAAGTATAAAACAAGAGACGTGCAAAGAGGCGTTAAAAATGTATTGAATTACACAGGATATCGAAAAGGCCGGGTGGAGTACAAAAAAACCCATGTGCCATATACAACAAACAACTAATTCAAGCCAAACTCAGTAGCATGAAAACTATTATAGCACCTAAAATGATGCATAAGGGGACATTATGCAAAATAGTTAGAAGCAAAAATATTAACCTGCGCATCTAATGACATCCATCTCAAAATATTGGCCAGTTTAACAAGCCAGATAACCCAACAGAAATAGTCTTAACTGAAAACGGTATCTGTTTTTCTTACGAGATTTAACAGAATATGATGCAATGCAACAAGCTGCAGTGTGGCATAATATTTACATAGACGCCAGATAACTTTCTATTTGCCAATGTAAAAAATGTCAGATATAATAAAACATCACCTGTAAAAAAAATCCCTGATTTCAGACAGTAATGATACTTACATCATCAAATTCTTGTCTAAATAAAACCTTTTTTAATAAACGCCCAGACATGCATAAATCGTCCAAATTCCTGAAGATCGAGGAAATGATACTGTTTAGGAAAAATGATAAAGATTCAGACGGCCTTCCGTACAATTAATTCCCTGCCTTTCTTTGTAAAGGCTCTACAAAGAGCAATCGCATGAAGATTGCGACACCACAACACGAAAATTCAAGTTCTAAGGGATAACAAATGTTGAAGTTCGGTCTAACTTATCGACACTCCACGCCTTTGGCAGATTAATGAAAGCAAACCAACATAATAAAAATAGAAATCTTTCATACGACGGCCCTCTGCTTGAAGTTCAAGAACACTTTTGACTCTTATTGGTGAACAACGGTGTTATAGTCACTAAGCGAAAAATATATTCCAGTTATTGGCAACTGCTTTTTACACAATAAAAGCTTAATTGCATTAAACAGCATTAATACCGAGGAACTGAAAACCAGATATGTCCTCATTACTCATGCCCGAGAGCAGATCTCTAAGATTTGAACTTCAGCACTATTCATTCACTCTGCACAGTGCCAGAACACACTGCATTCATAGCATTCTCAGGTGGTGTTACATTTGTCGTATTTTGAAGAAGGGGAGTTAAATTGCATTGCCAATGATACATTGGAAATTTTCAAGGGGAGAAGAATGTAAAGAAGAAAAACTTTAAAAACGTCACATGGGGAATCCAGAGCTATAATACTTCTAAAGCTCTACCAGACTGTTCAAAGAAAATCAGCTTTTACATTAGTTGAAAAAATATTGAAGTATTCCCTTAGATAATATTTCTCGGCCCCTCAAATTGATAAAAAGTTACTTGAGTCTCTTATATAAAACATGTAAGAAACAGAAAGATAAATATCTCAATCTCTTTGAAAGGATGCAACGGCACAGCCTGTTGCTTAGTTCACAAATGCTATAGTGGAAAGATAGCTACTTTCCGATCATCAAAATGAGTACTGTGCATGAAGAAGTGAAAGAAAGGTATGCTGCATGATTCCAGTTCCTCTTTTTTCCAAATATAATAAAAATATACAGAACAACTTAAAATGTAGCTCTTTGCAACTTGGCAGGCATTCTCACCCTTATCAAAATACAACAGCAGAAGCTAGGAATGCAGATATAATTTAATTGTGAGAGGAAATAGAACTTGGAAGCAACCTTTTTTATCTAGTAAATTACGAACTTCCGAAACCAACACAGCTCCACAATCCAGTACCAAACAGTATAATATCAAGACCTGCGATATAGAAATCAACATATCAGATCCCCGTATACCAACTGTGTAAATAAATGGATCAAAACTTGTTAACGAAGTAGATAGTACTTTTGTTCTGAACGAATAATACAGTAGTTCACAAATGGGAAAGCCATTTATGTCCTCAAAGTATTGTCTTTCATGCGGAACTGACAGCAGTCAAAGAAGCGATTGGCACTTCTGACTCCACCAATATATTTCAAATCCGTTCAAACGGACTGTCTGTAATCGATGTCCTAGCAAACACCAACCCCCATTGCCAATTGTACAACATGTATACAACTTTCTGCGGCCCTCTGCTACGAATTGAGAATACATCTCAGGGGGTTCTGAAGCCATATGTTGCCGAAAGGCAAAGATTCCCTAGTCAAAGAGGCTGAGAAAATTAAAATGACGCTGATGCTAATATCCAAAATTGTAGAAGAAACGATAGCTAATTCTTCCTCAAAGAATTCCTAGCAAAATGAATGGAGCACTGCAGATCAATGGAGCCCTATTCATAATCTTATTTCATTGGCCGATGATCCCAAATCTTATGTTAATTTCTATATCAACGAATGCATTACAGGTCATGATCCCTTCTTATATATTTGTGCGCAAGAAACATCATAAGCAGCGATTGTCGCATCTGTGGAAAAAGAGGGTGTATTGACCATTGCATATTCGCTTCCCACTTAGAGTTGGTAACCATCCCTAGCAGAAGCATATCGCATAAAAACAGCACTCTTAGGTCAAAAATAACTGTCCGTTAGGCTAAAAATAAGAAACAAATATTAAGAGAATTATGATCTGGGAACTCTGGAAGCGAAAAACTATCCAAGTATACCGGTGCTATGAAATCTGTATTATCAATAAACATAGAAACAAGCATCCCAATTCACCATTTTCTAGTGAATTAATTCAATGAGTATCAAAATATCAAAACTCATGACGTCTCCATTCCAAAGTAACGCTTGGAACTCTAAATCTCTAGAAAAATAACAAGCGAGGACCATTCTTGACATGACAAATGGTGCACCAGCAGAGCTGGCAAGGAAATGATGATTTCTTGCAACGATATTTTGTAATTCTGCCCTCGTACAGCGCTATCTCTCTCATGCAGATGACTTTCCAATCCAGCGTAGCTGCAAGACTCCGATTTTTTTTTTCCTTATTTTCTTTATTATCTTTTAAAATTTTCCTCCTCTTAGACACATAATCCTCGTGTGCTTAGTCGTAATCAAACAAATCAAACCAAAACCATCTCTAAAGAAACAACTATCAAAACATTAACAGCATCTTAAATTAAAATTTAAGACAAAAGGGAACCCTATTTGTCGAAATAGAACATATTATGTTTCCTTATCTTAATCTATACATGTGATAATCACATCCATCTTATATGATCAGCATCATATTGACATTGTCGAATACCTTTAATATATCAAACTCATCCACGTGAAGCTTTCTCATACTCGACCCCCCCCCCGTTTTGTTTTAGAAGATGCGTTCAAGAATTAAGAATTATTTTTATTTGTGAAATTACCGATAATATTATGTTAAAAAATACAACTAGTATTGATTATGGTATTGTGAAGACAAAAAAATTCGAAATAATTTAGCATAATTGTTAATAAAAAAACATGCTTATTAAAAATCTTTAAAAGCGCCTTCAACAAATTTCGAAAGAAACAACTATAATGAAATAAAGAGTTAATTACCAATAAAATTAATTAAATATTCATAAATTAAGTTAATTACTAATCATAAAATAAAAAGTTAATTGTGTGTGGGAAATTTTCAGCAGTGGATAGTTTGGAGATTTAACGCTGAAACTTCGCCAAGTAGAGGTGCATATGACATTAAAGAAACTGCAAACTGAGTTCGCTTTTAAGTTCTTTAAGTTTTCAGAAGTTATACAAAATGCAGAGAGCGAAACTTTTTTTTTGAAATAAATATTGTAAACATATGCAGCAACATTAACCCACTAAATTTACTATGGTATTGCAATCCATGTACACCGCATTTTAATTATTAAGAATAAATATCCGAAGCGAAGTACAAGTTATAGGATAGTTGTTCATTATATCTTTTCAGTTCTGACTTTTGAGTGTTGCAACATGTTTACGATCTCATCTATCTATGTCACTTTCAATAAGACCGAATGCCGTAACTGCTATCTCATAGCCTGAAACAATTCTCATAAGAAGGAAATCTCACCAGCAGATGACAAAAAGTGAAATTTTAACAGACTAGAAAACTCTTTTAGCCTTCAAGACTAGAAAACTCTTTTAGCAAAACTCTTCCTAATTGCATTTAAAAATTATGAATCGCGCATTTTCAAGTTAGTTTGTGGAGATTCGTTTAATTTAGCTAACAGTTACTTTTATTTTAAAGCAACTTTCCTTTGACCCTCATTTTGACCCACTCTTTCTTCCCAGAACGTTAATAAGCTAGAGCGTGTGTATTTAAATGAGGCAGAAAGAAATAGTATTTAAGGGAAGGTTTTCGAAGGTGATTTTAGAGTGTGTTTTGCTTGCCTGAAGGCCACGTTGCTATTTTGAATTACCAGCTGTTCTAACCATAAGATTTCTTTACGCCGACTTTTACTAGTCAAAGCCTTCCTGCGCGTTAAATTATCCTGCGAGCCGTTAGGATAAACTTACTACATTTAATTTTTTTTAGCCATTAATCTTGTTTAAGCTGACTTCTACGAGACAGAGCCTTCCTGCGTGTTAAACAATCCTGCGAGCCGTTAGGCTAAACTTACATTTAATTTTAAGTTCATCGTTACCTATTTGAGTTAAGCATTGGCTTTTGTACACGCCCAAGTGGGGCCATCTGTAAACTTATATTGAATGAATGTTTTCTACACGCTTTTTTGGACTTATCTCGTTAGTTTATGTTAGTCAAGTCTATGAGACGTTATACGTTGTTGCTGGTGATATAATTTATATTGCAGTTGTATTAATTTTTAATTTTAAATGAAGAACTATTCATTTCACCTTTTGTCTGTGTCTCTTTGAATGGAATGTGTAATGTATTTTATTTTGTTCACATCTTTACAGAATATTGTCCACCTGGGAAAAAGGTATGTAGCAACCGTAAATGCTACGACGAAACATCACAAAAATGCAATGGAGTTGACGACTGCGGAGATGGAACAGACGAAGAAGGATGTAGTAAGTCAAAGAAATAAAAATTTGCCACTTATTGTATTTAAAATCGTCTGTAGTAGTGAAGCAAATCGAATGTTTAGAGAAGAAAATTTATAGCCATTATTCAGTATATTATTTCTGCCTAATTTTAAAGAAAATAAAAAAACAAATTACTCTCCCAAATGATGTATCAGAAATCATAAAGATAATTCAGCTAAAATTATCCAAATTAACTATACCTAAAACCCATCTAAATAACCGTCAAATATGTATAAATGGTGTTGTGTAGTTGTTAGCTAATTTAATTGATGTTTAATTTTTGTAACTGATTAGTTTTTATTTAAAGTTGTTTAACTGAAAGTTTTGATTTCAGCTGTAATTGTTTTACTTAGATTTGGTAATTGGTAATGATTAATCTTTATTAACTTTTAAGGAAAAACTTATATTTAATTTCTGTCTGAAAACTTAAATTACGTTTGGTTTGGTTTTATTCTTTTGAATTAATTGTTCTTGTTTGGTATGACCCTTAAGGTTGTAAGATTCTCACTAGTGCAAATCTCAGCTGTTGTAGAAAGTGACGAATCTTAAGAACTAGTTAGCAAATAATCGCTTAAGTTCGTGTGACAAGAAACAACAAGATGGAAGGGTAACTAACCCTTTATTATTTCAACAAGATTTAACAAAACTCCTTCGTGGAGTGTACCATCAAAGCCGACACTTGGGCTTGAACTTAAGAGACTAAAAATTAAACTAAAACTAAGATTATCTAAAGAAATATAGCCGAAGCTATCAAGATTCTGGACTAGTTGGCCCCTTAACTCTATTTGACTACGAAGCTTATCAGGGACCTGAGTACGGCCGAGCGTAATAACATCTTTGAGAGAGAGAGTGGCCAAAAGGCAGACGGGCGTAAATCAGAAACTCTGATTCTCTCTCCCAAGACCAAAGAACTTCGCGGTTAAATACTGCTCTTCCTCATTATGTATTCAGACGTGATTCTAAAACTACGTTCTGGCCGGAAGTAGTAAGTTGAAGTTAAGAATTTGACAGGAAAGGAACTTAATATTTAACTGTTAATAAAATTAACATAATCCTTATAGGTTTATTAATTTTAAATTTTGTTTTTATGTTACACTTAATAGTATTAAAACTTAATTATTTTGCTAATCTAAATTGTGTTTAAATGATAATAAATTAAATTTATTAAGAATTAATGTAAAAATATTAAAGTCATAATACATTATGAATTAATACACAACAATAGTTTGTTTCTTTTATTTAGACCAAATATGTAATTTCTTAAAATTGTAATACAAGTTAAAGAATTATATTTTTGTGTGTGTATTCTGTTTCATTTGTTTCATGTATACAAAGATTATGTAGTTTAAAAAAATGCTTTATTTTCTATTAAGCAAAATCGCAGGTTTTTGATAAAAACTTTATGATGAAATTATTTTTATTCCTTTAAGAAGATAACCCATTTGTGTTCCAAGTAAACTAAAATAATTAAAATTATTTGTAACCATGATGGCTTTAAAACTGGAACCATAATCATGTTTTCTTTTTATAAAGAGAGCATGCATATAAAATCATCATACTGTTTAGCCTATGTTTTACATAAAAGGTCCTTGGTTCGGCTAAGAAACGATTTATAGAATAAATAAGGGCAATACCTATATTAAGAAACTCAACTGTTTTTCTTTAAATGTTTATGTGCTAAATATTAGTCTTTTTTACTGTAGATAAAAATGATATATTTTACGAATTGTAAAATAGCTTGAAAAACAAATTTGCTATACATTTTACTGTAAATTAAATTAAGGATCAAATTTTAAAAAGTTTAAATAAACTGTTAGCAAGCTTAATTTTTAATGTTCTTAAAAAAGTGGAAAAGAAATACAAAAGATTTTAAAGTCTCCGATAACTGATGTTCTTTTGTGCATGCTACTTAATTTCCCAAACTGAAACCTTCATGCTGTCAGAGGACAGAAAAATTTATATTAAACAATTCAAACGCATTATTAATTTCATATTTTCTAAAAGGTGATAAAAAATAAAAATTAAGTGTGAAACTTCAAGAACTTTCTGGAGATACTTTTAGATCCTGAGATCAAAATTATTTATTTATTTAAGTACACGAAAAAAATGACTTATGTAATACAGACGAAAGTTATTTTTCCCAAACCTATTTATAACAAAAGTAATTTTTTTCGTGAACTTAAATAAATAAATTTTTATATTTGACTTATAAAATTTCAAAAGGGAAGTTACTTTATTTACTCGAAAATAAAGGTCTATCACACATTCAAAACATTTCGGAAGAATAACTCTTTAGAAAATTTCGCTGCTTTGTCACAAGATATGAAGCAGCCAATCACAGCGAATCGCTTTGGTGTTACAATGTAAAGGAAAAATTAGTTCTCCAATAGAAATGATGACTGATCACGGGGATTTGATGTTGATAGCTGATTGTTGACAACGAACAACTTATGATTTTTTTTTTTTTTTTTTTTTTTTTGCGAAAGAAAGAAAAAAAAAGTTCATCTTTCTTTCAGTGGTAAAGGCAGGTAGAAAAATCTGTCTCCACTGGGTTAGGTGGTCTTCAGCCTGTTGGATCTCGTCGATGGAATAAAAAAAAAAAAAAAACGAGTTTAGTGCTGTGTCCTCCGGGAATTGACCACGCTAAACGGGGAACATTGAAAGAAGGTGCACGGTGGGGATTGTTGAGACTAAGGGAAACACTTTTCACTATTATGGTACAAGATATGCACACAGATAAATTAAGGACGTGGTATAGACACAGATGCAGACATAAAGATGAAATCTGAACAAATACATTACAAATCATGAAATATTAAATGAGTGCTGGATTAATTATAATATTAAAAATAATTAAAAAAACACAAGGCATTAAGTAAATTAATATATATATATATATATATATATATATAATACATAGCGGGCTTCTGTCCAAGAAAATAAGTCCCTCCAGGCTGTAAGCAATGCTCTTAGCAATGACAGTGCAGTCTCTAATGCGGCTGAGCGTATATTCATCTTTATTTGTGTTCTTGAACCATGTCGGCATATTGATTACAGCTGGTGTTTTTAAATGTGAATTCGCTGTGTGCTGGCAATCGTACAGATAGTAATCTGGGTCACCAATACTGCCACAAATATATTGGTCGCTGTCTCCTAGGCCAAATCTGTGAAGATAGGACATATATGGACCATGCCCTGTCAGATAATGTGTGAGGCACGAAGAGCCGCTATTTAAATTCTGGTTTACTTTTCGATGAAAATTATACAATCTTCTGCCTATGGTGCTCGACTCCCAGTAATTTTGCCATTATTTCATGAATTCACATTTTAGAGTGGTTTTCAGATATGAGTTCTGAAAGGGCACACTAATGTTACTCACATGGAGTTCGTTAGCTGCCCTTTTCGCAATCACATCTGCTGCTCATTTCCTTTAATCCCCGTATGAGCTGGAACCCACTGAAGCTTGGGCTTCATACTTACAGAAATCGAAATTAATAGTTTATGTATCTCTCTGACTATGGAATGTCTACTACGGCCGCTCTGAATGGCCTGCAAACTTGACATTGAGTCAGAATAGAAACAGAACTTCGAAGCTAGTTATTAACTTCAGCTTTGCTAGACCTTAGGAACGCTACAAAAGGCTGCTTAGGAATGCTAGAAAAAAGTTTTGTATAGAATCACATAGATAAGCTTCGTTGCCTTTCGATACCGGCAAACAGTTTAGATATAGAATAATAGTGTGAAACTTAATGAAGAAAATTCAGGTATATGCAAGATATATATATACGTATATATACATATATCTATATCTGTATTTATCTATCTCTGTATATACAGGGTGATTCCAGATTCATGGTATAGACTTGGAAAGCATGTATAGAACAAAGATATGAATAATATTCACATAGGAAACCCAGGTCGCAATGCATTTATTTGTCATAAATATAACTTAAAATAAGAAAACTTTAAAATGAGATTGAGATCACACAACATCTCATATGTGCTGCATACGAAGAACAGCACTCACAGAAACTTTTATCACTCATTTAAAAAGATTTTGCTTCGAACTACGTCACGAAACACATTTGCATATTAGTAATTTACATTAAAAACAGGTAGAGTTGGCGGTAGAGGTTAGTGGGTATGCATCTCACTAGGGAAAGACTCCTTTCGCGTTTGTGCTGTTCGTCAGTGATGGAAGGCTTTACGTATGTGAAAAAAGAAGACATGCATGACATGTGCGTAGCATCAGAGCTGCCCTACGACTGCATCACGCGCAGTTTCCGGAAAACGAATGTCGAATCACAGAACGTTTCAGCGGTTACATATTCAATTTTGTGAAACAGATTCTTTCCATTTCGCCAGACAGGATGCTGAACGAAGACAAACTGTACGCAATCCAGGATTTGAAAAAAGCATCTTGATACTTATGGCATATACACCCAAGTCAAGTACAAGAGCCTGGTCATAAAATGTAGTGTGAAAACATAGGTATGAGTCAGCATATCATTTGCAGAGCATTTAACGAAAATCGCATACACACTTTCCCTTCTCAGCGAGTACAAAGCTTTGAATCCGTAAGACTATCCTCTGCTGCCAGTGGCTTGTAGCAATCTTCACTGCAGCCGGGATTCACACCTCACGAGCTATTTACAGATGAGGCGACGTTTACCCGTGAGGGTGTATTTAAAGCGCAAAATTCCCATATGTGGGCAACCGAGAATCCAAACGCAATGCGAGTACATGCATCTTAACGACGAATGAATGTGAATGTGTGGGCCAGTGTACTGTATTTATGACTTTGCCAGTGTACGCTGTGAAACATGTATCGCTGTTTGGTAGATGGATTTTGAACAATTCTGGTAAACTACATGTTTTTTGTTGATGTCCTCGAATTTTTAATTGGCCCATACCTACTGCCACAGCGACTCAATGGCCAACGTTATCTTATTTTTCTGGAACAGGTGTTACCAAAACTGCTGCAAGATGTTCCGATCTCTATTCGTAATCGAATATAGTTCCATC